TGATTATGATATCTTGTTTTATTATCTATCCCTTTCCTAAGGTTTTCTAACATTCTGTTAGATTTTTGGATTGCCACTGCATACTGAGCAGACATTTTCAGAGAACTATCCATGCTGTCTCCAAGATCTCTTTCTTGAGTGGTAATAGCTATTTAGACCCCATCATTTTGTATGTATAGTTGAGATTATTTTTTCCAATGTGCGTTACTTTGACAGGTAAGGTTGCACCAGAATACTTCCCTCCACTCAAAACTGTGAAAAGTTAAAGTCTCCTGCATTCCTTGCCACTTTCACATTGCCTACACCACCACTGATAACAGCAAAAAGCAGTATCTACCCCAACTTCATCAAACTTGTGCTCTAGCACAAAACCTTAATAACTGACCTCATTAATGTTAAGGCAGAATAACTTCTCATTTGTATGCTACAGGTGACAGATGTGGCAATCAGTTGATAGAGGAGCCTGTTAAAATGCTGTTAAGATTTTGTGCAAGAGCACAAGTTTGAATCTGGGGGTGTGTGGCTTTTAGTTATCGGATTAGATTATAGTCATAGTTTAGAGTCAAAGTACTATATATACAAGATGACCTTAGACAAAGTCTGGTCACATCTCTACGTGATCTGGCACCACTTTCTTAGGGAGGAAATATTTGGCAGGAAAATGAAAAGAGACTCCATTTGTTTATGCCACTCACTACAAATTTCTAAACATAGAAATCAATGACACTAGAAACTAGCTATGTAAGAAAGTACTGATTTATAAGGGTGCAGCATCCAAGCATCAAGAAATGCAATTGAACTATTAATCTGTATATTTTTATAGAATTTTGTTTTTCTCATTTGTAGGGTCTTACCATATTCACGGCCATGAAAAATGCCTCATGCACTGTGAAATCTTATCCTTCTGTGATATCTGGCTATTGTAGGGAAGGGACAGGGCTGGGGGCACCTACCGTGCACCAGGCTCCAGCTGCTAGTCCCAGCCCAGCGGTTGCCCGTGAGGCTGGCCCTGCCCCCCCCAACTGACAACACCCCCATTCCCCGCAACCATCATTTCTGCGCTACTACTGGCGGTGGTGTTGGCTTTACAGCTGGGCACTGCCCAACTCTGAAGGCGGTGCCCCTGCCAGCAGTGGTGCAGAAGTAAGGGTGGCAATCCCACAACCCCCCTATAATAGCTTTGTGACCCCCTCCATGATCCCCTTTTGAGTTGTGACCCCCATGATTACAACACCTTGAAATTTCAGATGTAAACATGTGAAACCTGAAATTGACTATTTTAAAAATCCTATGACTGTGAAATTGACCAAAATAGGTCATGAATTTGGCAGGGTCCTGCTCATTTGTATAAAATTAGATACAATATACTCTGTAATTATTATTTAACATTAGTATTGCAGTAGTTCCCAAAGCCTCTTTTTGCTAGGTGATGCCCAAACACACAGTAAAGGGTTTCGCAAAAAGAAAAGGAGTACTTGTGGCACCTTAGAGACTAACCAATTTATTTGAGCATGAGCTTTCGTGAGCTACAGCTCACTTCATCGGATGCATACTGTGGAAACTGCAGAAGACATTATATACACAGAGACCATGAAACAATACCTCCTCCCACCCCACTGTCCTGCTGATAATAGCTTATCTAAAGTGATCATCAAGTTGGGCCATTTCCAGCACAAATCCAGGTTTTCTCACCCTCCGCCCCTCCCCCCCCCCACAAACTCACTCTCCTGCTGGTAATAGCCCATCCGAAGTGACCACTCTCTTTAAAATGTGTATGATAATCAAGGTGGGCCATTTCCAGCACAGATCCAGGTTTTCTCACCCTCCGCCCCTCCTCCCCCCACAAACTCACTCTCTTGCTGGTAATAGCTCATCCAAAGCGACCACTCTCCCTACAATGTGCATGATAATCAAGGTGGGCCATTTCCAGCACAAATCCAGGTTTTCTCACCCCCCCCACCCCCATACACACACAAACTCACTCTCCTGCTGGTAATAGCTCATCCAAAGTGACCACTCTCCCTACAATGTGCATGATAATCAAGGTGGGCCATTTCCAGCACAAATCCAGGTTTTCTCACCCCCCCCCCCCCAAACTCACTGTCCTGCTGGGAGGAGGTATTGTTTCATGGTCTCTGTGTATATAATGTCTTCTGCCATTTCCACAGTATGCATCCGATGAAGTGAGCTGTAGCTCACGAAAGCTCATGCTCAAATAAATTGGTTAGTCTCTAAGGTGCCCCAAGTACTCCTTTTCTTTTTGCGAATACAGACTAACATGGCTGTTACTCTGAAACCTGTCAGTAAAGGGTTTGCTTACAAAAACAGACCACTCCTCCATCTTCTCCACTTTGCTCCCTCCCATACATACGTTATAGAATGAGATATTTTTCAAACAAACATTTTCTATTGCTATGAACATCTTGCTGGGAATTTGGCTATATTAGTAACTATTACACTGTAACACAATCATCTTACCATCTTCCTTTTATAGTCTTTAGTTAAAGCCATTGTATTTAAATCAGTCGAAGTAAAAGAGCTTGAGTTAGCAACTGGAACGCTGTGTCTCCTGTGGGGTACTCTTTAGTTAACCACTGTGGGAAGTTCCAAGTCAGTAGGTGGTGCATGATCCCCTGCTGTGCATGGTGCAAATCTCCATCCTGTTACCACTTGGTTTCGAGAATAAAAATTGTTAAGAGCTTAGAATTTTCACCAAACAAACATTATGAAAATGAGATCCAGGAGAGAGAATCCTGGTGGATTGGTCAGACAGTTATTCAAAAGGTACCAACAGAAAAGGAGAAACCATCTTGGAAAACAAATGTCTTAATCACTAACATGTCCTTATGGAAAATCTGGCAGAGATTCTTGCAGGGGGAAAACCCCCCAGCAAAAACAAAACCCTATGCTCCTACATTCTCCTGGCCAGAAGATCAGTTTTAAGAGTCAAAATCCCTCAGAACTTCTTCAGGTGTTCAGAAGGAGATTCTGAGAGTGCATTTAGAACCATTGAGCTAGAACAGAGATTCTATTCTTCCTTAGCTTTAATAATAACCCAGCCAACCAAAAAATCTCACCACTTCTTGATCAGAAGCCACAGAAGAATGCTCCGTTTTGCTTTTAAAGCCCCACTAGCAGCAATTTGGATCTAAAGAGAGCCCATATTCAGGCAAGAGTGTTAAAAAAAATCACATTTTTAAAGGATTTAAATTGATGTTGTTAAGGAACCCAGATTAACATACAGGGAATGTAGACTACTTACGTGCAAATAGCTGTAAAATCCTCCTTAATGAGTCTCACTTCATAAACCAGCCCAACTAACATATTTGATCACAGTATTCATGGTGGACTGGATCTTAGGCCAGAATGTCCCATTTGAAGGGAAGAATTAAAGAATGATCTAGGCAGAGAGTCAGTCAGTCTCATAACCAAAGCATCATTGGCTATCAGGAAGACTCGACTAACCGTTTGCTCATTTGATGGGGAGGTAGAACAGAAGATATCCTGTGTGAAACTTCCAAAAAGAGAACACCCGTATTCCTAATGATAATGATAATGAAAACTAATGATTCTGGAGAAGACGACATTTTTCTTTATGTTTGACCATAAAGCCATCAGACTCATCTGAGGACTCCATTTGTGGCAAATTAGGAGGAATGCTGACTGGTGCATTTCCTTCCCTTGATTAGTTCTAGAAGTCTGTCTGCTCTGGAGTTCAGAACCCCTGGTAACATGGATGACCATGGGGAATACGTAAAACTCGTTTTTGCTGAAAAGAGGATTTGGCTGCCATGCTCTTACATTGTGCTCCCTGACCTACTGATTATGATACTGGAGAGACAAGGGGCAGGTGAAGTAATATCTGTGATGGGACCAACCTCATCCATCTTGTCTCTCTAAATTCTTGGGGCCAACACAATTACAAATGGTTATGCTACTGTCTGTTTGAATTTTTCCTGTCTAGAACTTGGATCCTAGCTGAAGTGGTAAATTGCCTACCAGCTGCACTACTTTCTAGCCAACTGACCAGGAGAATCTTCTCTGTCAGCAGCCAGCAGTCCTAGATTACAAGATGCCCTAAGTGTCTATTTCTACCAGGCTCATGTCCATAGTGAGTACTGTTATTATAATAAATATAGTACCATCAATTGAGAGGATCTAAAAGTGACCAGTGGTGAAGATTAACAACCTGCATTCACCAGATGAAAGACTCAGTGAGAGGGCTGAGAAGCCAAATTTGGCAAGGTAAATGAAAGCAGGTACAGGATACTAGGGCAAGTCATCTGACAGAGTGATGTCAGAAGAGAATTGCTCCCCCGCATCTCCATTTGCTGGAAGTAGGATTTATACCAGCGGCTGAGCTTCATGAAGAAACAGCATATTTAGAAAATAAAACATTTCTTCATTGAATACAGACCTAAAAGTTAAGTCACTCTGATATTTATAATAAATAGTTCAGATATTGGTCCCTTATGTCCCCTGTGTGCCACTCAAGTAGTGCAAAGGGGAAGGAAAGATGGCTTTAACAGCTGGCTGGAGATTATGCCTGCATAGGGGAAACCTCAGGCAGCGCAAAGGCAGAGAACCTAGTTCTATGGTTCTTGCTCCTTACCCTTATCTCCCCTCTGGTTTAGGAGTCATTGTGGGACTGAGAGGAGATATGGCTGGAGCATGATAACATCTGAGCCAGTTTCTATCATCACAAATTAGAACAGCCCTGAAGCTGAGGGATCAGGATTGTTCCTGGAAATAAGGAGAAATAGGTTCAGGATCAACACTATTTTACATTCTTATGTTTCTAGCATGGTATGCATTGCAACATCGGTAGTTCAAGATAGAATATGGAATATTATTTTAGGGCTTTTTGGTGGGTACCTCTGTATTAGTAAGTCAAGATTTCTTATTCATTGAAACATGCAGAGATTTAATAGAAGATTATGAACTGCTAGTGCAAAGAAAATGTTTCAATGGAAAAAATACTGCACTTAAATAGGTCAGACTTGGAAATTGAAACGTGTTTGATTTAATGACTTCACAATTTCAATACATAAAAATAGGTACCCAGTAATGAACAAATGTATACAAACCAGATTTTCTTAGGTAATGTACAAAACAATTGTAGAGAGAAAAAGGGGGGTGAGGGAGGAGGAGGAAGGTTTTGTTGGATTACATTGCAAGACAAAAAACAAAATGTAGTTGAGCAAACAATGTTAAATGAGGAGATCAGAGGCTTATTTCATAAATATTGTGCAATGCTTTCATTTAACAAATACAAAAATTACAATTATTTAACTTAATGTCAGGAAATATAAAATGTAATTCAATGACAGTTCTCTAATTTATTTAAAAATGGATGCAAATATAATAGCTTTTAAAATTTTGAGGTAATATTACACAGTAAACCCAAAAAGCTTTTAATAATTAAAACTAAACCAAGGCAAAGTGCAATTTTATGATAAAAGATTAAAATGTAAAGCTTTTATCTTAATGATAGGCAGAAACAATGCTTCAGTTATTAAATGTGGGCTTGAGTCATAAAAATATTGACATATGCATTTTTACATGAGAAACTGTAGAGCTATTAATTCATAAACAAAAATGCATGACAACTTTCCATGAATCACCCCCTCTAGAAACAAAAATTTTGCTTCCAGTTTACTTAATAAAAATATACATAATTCTGACTTCTAAAATACACCCACATTTTTGTGCTTATTAGTATTTTACCCATTTTAAATGTCTTTTTAGTTCAGGCAGTACAGTGGTGAAGCAGTGTGATTTGTGTAACTGATTCACTTTACATTTTCAGATTAAAAATATAATTCTAGAGTGGTATTTTTAAAAGCAACAATTACTGGCCTAAATATGCTTCCACTGAAGTCAATGGTAGTTTTACCACTCACTTAAAGAGGAGCTGAGTTAGGCCAATGCTGAATGCTTTCAAAAATCCTACCACTAATCTCTATTCCTAATAAAATAAAAATGGAAAACCATCACTACCTTCTTTAAGGATCAGAACAGAATGAAATGTGTAATTATCTACTAAAGGATTAATGGCATTAAGGTTACAGAGTAGCCAGATTAGTTTACTAACCAATGTAGAAATCTGCTGGTTGTGTGTAAGTAGTATAGAAAGGAAGAAATAGCCAGAATAAGAAAAGTATCAGAAAAATTACTATATATTTTGTTATTGCAAATAAGTTCCATTGCAAAATCCATAGAACATACAGTAGGTATTACTTGATGTAAAAAAATACAATATACTATACTGTATGCTGCTACTGTCTCAGGTTGTGAATAAAAATGGACTTGTAATTATGCCTGCATTTTACAACCAGTTTCTTCCTCAGCTCCAAATTTGCTAAAACTTTCAGACAAGAATATCTTTACATTTACTTTATTAGTGTGCAGTGAAAAAACCAAAACATTGTCTAAATACCGACCTTCAAGTTAAATGAAAGATACAGCATTTTGATATGTTCTTGTATTCACTTTTGTCATAGCTTACTCTAATAAACTTTTAGTAAAAGATTTCTAGCATAAAGTTGTTGATCAAATGACAGCATTGTACACAAGTTAAAATTTTAATATTTTTCCATGTGATGTGGATATCACTTATTTCTTAAGTTATTCAAAGAGATTTAGAATTTACCTGTCAACATCCAATTTCTTTAAGTAAGCCATGGTTACAAAACTACAATATCTACAGCCAAACTGATTAGTTTGCTGCCAATTTCATAAGATTTACATGCAGGTTGTTTAATACTTAAAGTTTGTCCTTGAGTCCAGCTATACTGAAAATAGTACTTTTAACATTCCTGTACAAATCAATTCTGTTGATCTGTAAAAGCTGAATATATAACATCTAAAACTGTGTATTTGTAAAAATAAATCTTTAGCAATTAATGGCACTATCAAAATTCTATTTTTCCACAGGCAGTTATTTACATGCTTTTTAAATATCCTGCTTAATTATTTGATAACGAAAGCCAGAACATTAAAACTGTATACATTTCATCTAGGCTGTAATTGCTTTATGTCTCAATATGAAAATATGGCCCCGTGTCTCACATGAATGGCAGTTATACACTTTGCTACTGCGTGTATTAATTGAAGACATTCTGCCACTTGGCTTATCTAATCAATAAACCTTTTATGTTTCCTTTCCCAGTGGAACATGCATCCGGATGTAAATTATGATTAATTATAAAGTGCTCCAAGAATAATCAGACTCAAAACTGTAACCTGGAATTTGTCACCTCTGGCGGCTTTCTTCTGTCAAGTAATGCAGCATTCTGTATTTTATGAAAATTACTTTGTGAAAAAAAAAAGCAGTAAATGTATTGCCATACAGCAAAAACAAATGCACTTTGCATTAACTAAAAAAATCATGTTTTAAATTGGATAAGACTGGCACAGTATCAAGAGACAAACATGAAAAGCTTAAAGGCACAATAAGAGGAAAGTGAGTGCTACATAAAAAAATCCTGTATTTTAAACCTTTCAAATTATTCTAGACCAAAACCTTCTGCATTTGAAATTCCAATGATCAGCTTCTGCTTCAGTTCTTTTTTGCTCTTGTAAGGAGGGAGGCAAAGCTGGTTAAAGCACGTGTGGGCCACAGGTAACCTAAAAATATTTAAAAAAATAATGCACCATTTGTTTTTAACATAAATTTTATAGCATTACGATATTACCTGTATTGTTGTAATTTACGTGCATTACTTTTACAAACCCACACGAAGAAAGTGTTACTTACCTCACAGTAACTGGGGTTCAACATGTGTTGTTCATATGTATTCTATGGTTAGTGCACATGTGCCCCATGCCGAGTTTGGATTCTTTTTGGCCACCGGTGTCCTTGTGACTCTCACCTCAGTGCACAAAAGGTGAGGAAACCCCAGCTAACCCTCAGACTCTTCGCCAATACAGAATCCAGGTATTATGAGACTCTGTAGTAGTGAGGAAGGTGGGCTGTGGAATATAAATGGCTAACACATCTTGAAGAACCAAAGTAACAGTTTTCTTTTAGGTTAGTTGTCCATATATATTCCATTGTTGGTGACTCACAAGCAGTGACCTATATCACAGGAGGTGGGTGCTTGGAGTCTAACAATAAGATAGCTCTGCCAAAAGGAGCATCAGATCTTGATGCTTCATCTGTGGAGTAATATTTGGTAAAATGTATGCATGGAATTCCGAAGTTGCTTCCCTACATATTTCTAGTATCAAAATGCTTCTTAAAAAGCTGTAAAAGCTGCTTAAGCCCTGGTGGAGTAACCTATAATTCTTCCTTGTTGGCATATGGCTTGGGAATGAACACAGGCAGGTGTATTACTTGGTTGAATGGAAGTCAGAGACTACCTTTAGCAACACCTTTAGGTGAGGCCTCATTGAAATATTGTCTATGGAGGTTCTGCAGTGAGCATATGCATTTTTCCTACCTTGATAGCTGCTGTTATTGCAATCTGGAAGGCTGTTTTGATGGACAAGAGGGAATGTGTAGCTAGGGGCTCAAAGGGATGGGGGAGGGAAGACCCATCAAACCTGTCAGCATGAGGTTAAGATCCTAAGGAAGAGGAGGGTCCCTGACTGGGAGATATACCCTTATAAGGCTCTTCAGGAATCTACCTACTGTGAGGTGTGAGAATGCTGATTAGCTCTGAATCAAATGGGAAGATGGAAAGCTGAAATGGCTGTTAGGTGAACCTTAAGGAATTCAGAACTGTCTAAAAGCTCCCTAAAAGACAGGAGGTATTTTAGTATTATATGCAACTAGACTTCCTGAGAAGTGCAGGGACCTTGTGTCTGAAGATTGTCTAGGTGGGCTCCCCACCCTAGACTGGAGGCATCTGTGACCAAGGCTTTCAATAGCAATGGTGGATAAAATGATGATGCAGCAGAAGCTGATGGTTTCCTTGTTTGGAATCTCTGATACTTCTCAGACGGGCTCTGCTGTGCGTGAGGGATGGTTGCCAGGGTGCTGGTAAGAATATTGAACAGGGAGCCATGAGAGTGAGTATGACTGCTGGGGTCCTGGTACAGATATTGAACCATGGGGGTCAAGGCATAGTGTCTCTCCTAGAATTTTGGGCTTTAGATGGTAGCAATGCGCTCTAGAATCCTTTTCTGGTGTGTAAGGATCAAAGGACTCCAGGGAATGAGATGGTCACCCCAACCTGCTATTGCATCCTGGATTGTCTACTGCGGTGCATAGACAATCCAGGAAGTTTTTTGGAAAGTGTAGGGGACAATTTCCTGGTGAAAGTGCTAGAGGAGCCAACTGGGGGGGGGGGGGGCGGCTTTTCTTGACCTGCTGCTCACAAACCGGGAAGAATTAGTGGGGGAAGCAAAAGTGGATGGGAATCTGGGAGGCAGTGACCGTGAGTTGGTTGAGTTCAGGATCCTGACACAGGGGAAGAAAGGTAAGCAGCAGGATACGGACCCTGGACTTCAGGAAAGCAGACTTCGACTCCCTCAGGGAACGGATGGGTAGGATCCCCTGGGGGACTAACATGAAGGGGAAAGGAGTCCAGGAGAGCTGGCTGTATTTCAAGGAATCCCTGTTGAGGTTACAGGGACAAACCATCCCGATGAGTCGAAAGAATAGTCAATATGGCAGGCGACCAGCTTGGCTTAACGGTGAAATCCTAGCAGATCTTAAACATAAAAAAGAAGCTTACAAGAAGTGGAAGGTTGGACATATGACCAGGGAAGAGTATAAAAATATTGCTCAGGCATGTAGGAATGAAATCAGGAGGGCCAAATTGCACCTGGAGCTGCAGCTAGCAAGAGATGTCAAGAGTAACAAGAAGGGTTTCTTCAGGTATGTTGGCAACAAGAAGAAAGCCAAGGAAAGTGTGGGCCCCTTACTGAACGAGGGAGGCAACCTAGTGACAGAGGATGTGGAAAAAGCTAATGTACTCAATGCTTTTTTTGCCTCTGTCTTCACTAACAAGGTCAGCTCCCAGACTGCTGCGCTGGGCATCACAACATGGGGAGTGGATGGCCAGCCCTCTGTGGAGAAAGAGGTGGTTAGGGACTATTTAGAAAAGCTGGACGTGCACAAGTCCATGGGGCCGGATGAGTTGCATCCGAGAGTGCTAAAGGAATTGGCGGCTGTGATTGCAGAGCCATTGGCCATTATCTTTGAAAACTCATGGCAAACGGGGGAAGTCCCAGATGACTGGAAAAAGGCTAATGTAGTGCCAATCTTTAAAAAAGGGAAGAAGGAGGATCCTGGGAACTACAGGCCAGTCAGCCTCACCTCAGTCCCCGGAAAAATCATGGAGCAGATCCTCAAAGAATCAATCCTGAAGCAAAAAGAAAAGGAGTACTTGTGGCACCTTAGAGACTAACCAATTTATTTGAGCATGAGCTTTCGTGAGCTACAGCTCACTTCATCGGATGCATACCGTGGAATGCATCCGATGAAGTGAGCTGTAGCTCATGAAAGCTCATGCTCAAATAAATTGGTTAGTCTCTAAGGTGCCACAAGTACTCCTTTTCTTTTTGCGAATACAGACTAACACGGCTGTTACTCTGAATCCTGAAGCACTTACATGAGAGGAAAGTGATCAGGAACAGTCAGCATGGATTCACCAAGGGAAGGTCATGCCTGACTAATCTAATCGCCTTCTATGATGAGATTACTGGTTCTGTGGATGAAGGGAAAGCAGTGGATGTATTGTTTCTTGACTTTAGCAAAGCTTTTGACACGGTCTCCCACAGTATTCTTGTCAGCAAGTTAAAGAAGTATGGGCTGGATGAATGCATTATAAGGTGGGTAGAAAGTTGGCTAGATTGTCGGGCTCAACGGGTAGTGATCAATGGCTCCATGTCTAGTTGGCAGCCGGTGTCAAGTGGAGTGCCCCAGGGGTCGATCCTGGGGCCGGTTTTGTTCAATATCTTCATAAATGATCTGGAGGATTGTGTGGATTTCACTCCCAGCAAATTTGCAGATGATACTAACCTAGGAGGAGTGGTAGATACGCTGGAGGGCAGGGATAGGATACAGAGGGACCTAGACAAATTGGAGGATTGGGCCAAAAGAAATCTGATGAGGTTCAATAAGGATAAGTGCAGGGTCCTGCACTTAGGACGGAAGAACCCAATGAACAGCTATAGACTAGGGACCGAATGACTAGGCAGCAGTTCTGCAGAAAAGGACCTAGGGGTGACAGTGGACGAGAAGCTGGATATGAGTCAGCAGTGTGCCCTTGTTGCCAAGAAGGCCAATGGCATTTTGGGATGTATAAGTAGGGGCATAGCGAGCAGATCGAGGGACGTGATCGTTCCCCTCTATTCGACATTGGTGAGGCCTCATCTGGAGTACTGTGTCCAGTTTTGGGCCCCACACTTCAAGAAGGATGTGGATAAATTGGAGAGAGTCCAGCGAAGGGCAACAAAAATGATTAGGGGTCTGGAACACATGACTTATGAGGAGAGGCTGAGGGAACTGGGATTGTTTAGTCTGCAGAAGAGAAGAATGAGGGGGGATTTGATAGCTGCTTTCAACTACCTGAGAGGTGGTTCCAGAGAGGATGGTTCTAGACTTTTCTCAGTGGTAGCAGATGACAGAACAAGGTGTAATGGTCTCAAGTTGCAGTGGGGGAGGTTTAGGTTGGATATTAGGAAAAACTTTTTTACTAAGAGGGTGGTGAAACACTGGAATGTGTTACCTAGGGAGGTGGTAGAATCTCCTTCCTTAGAAGTTTTTAAGGTCAGGCTTGACAAAGCCCTGGCTGGGATGATTTAATTGGGGATTGGTCCTGCTTTGAGCAGGGGGTTGGACTAGATGACCTCCTGAGGTCCCTTCCAACCCTGATATTCTATGATTCTATGAATGAGAGGAGGAGAAAAACTACTACTCTTTTAATGGAGGAGCAGTACCAGCTCAGGTGCTAGGCAAGCCTTTAGTATGTTGTCTACCTGGTACCACAGATGTGCTCAGTACTGAAGAGACAGAGTAGTGGTTGGTACTTCAGAAGGAAGTTAGATGAACAACAACAATGGTCCTGCAGAGGGTGTGAGGTCTGTTGATGCTGCAAAGGGTCTTGGTACTGAGCATGGTGGTACCAAGTGAATGGAAGAGACTGGTACCAGCAGCCTCAATGACAAGTCAGTTCTGGATGATATATGATGCTTTGTGGGAGCTGGTACTAGGATATGGTGACTGGTGTGGACTGGGTGCCAGAGAGATACCCACTCATTTGAACTACCCTTCTCAGTAGCAGAATCAGAATCAGAATCAGAGGACCTAGTGAGGGGGCACCTAGATCTGTGGCCCTTAGAGGTGCAATGCTCCTTTCTCCCCCAACCTCAGATATTTTACCAGCCAGAGAGGAAGGTCCCTTAGACATGTGCCTCAGAGAGTAGACTGAACAGCTGACTGGCGCACTTTTGGAAGAGGACTGTTCAGGAATTTCATGTCCAGCCACTCCAATATCTGAAGAGGCATAGACCTCTCCAGTAAAAGAAGCTTCTTGAGAGTCTCTCTTCCCTTTGGTGTTTGCTTCAAGAATGATTTGCAAAATGGCACCTCTCTCAGGAACGTGCCCCTTTGGTAAGGCATAAACACCCATATACGCATCATTAAGTGGTGTTACTGCCTCACAAGGACAATTCTTAAAATCGTGGAAATTTCTATTCTGCTATAAGGACTAACCCTGGTTCCAGGTGAAGTCGTTTAGAGAATTTTTTTTGTTTTCAAAGAGAAAGGAAATGCTAAGTAAAAAGCTAATCCTAACATGAAGGTATTTACAAACAACAGAATGGGCACAGTGATCAAGAGGCTCAGCCACTGTTGAAGTTCCAACTTGTAGCCATGGGCACTGAGAAGGAACTGAAGGATGGGTAGGGTTTCCCTACCCTTAAACACTTATGTGGGAGGCACAAGGACACCAAGAGCATAGGCATGGCCCCATATGGATATTGGTAGCCAAAAGAATCCCAAAATCAAGTGCAGGGGCTGCACATGCACCAGTAGTGGAATATGTATGGAATTACAGTTCAGCTCAGTTTGAGGTATGAAACTGACTGGACATATTGGCAAATTTCCAAAGCTAGATGTCTAAAGTTAAGTTTCTAAATTCGTATTTGGGGTGGGATTTTCAAATGCTCTCAGAAATGGCATAACTTTCTTTGAAAAATCACAGCCTTTAGGCCATTGAAGGCTGGGCTACAGATGTCTACAAGCATTGAGAATCCACGCATTTCACTAAAGTCAACAGGAGCTGCAGGTGCTCAGCATCTTTAAAACTCAGGCCACTTTCACTATGAGGTACATATCCAATGAATGTAGGAGGTTAATATTGGGCACTCAGATTTGAAAATTTTGGCCATTACTACGGCCTGGATCTTGTAATATGATCCATGCAGGTGGATCCTTATGCTTATGAAGAGGCACATGGAAGCCAATATGGCTCTGCATGGGTGCAAGAATCTGACTGCAAAGATGACATTGTAGGAATAGGGCCTACATTATTTTAACATACACCTTTTATTTAAAAGCTACTACTCCATTTTTAAATTGTGCCACTGCACCAGACAACAGGAAGATATGTGTTGCGTGTACCCAAATATATGTAAGATCATATACAATTTTGAGAATTTAAAAATGGGACCAAGTTAAGAACAGATTAGCAGTCAGCTCGCAATTTTCTTGCCTTGATATTCCTTTAACATATTACTGGATTCATGAGTCTGTTGATCTAAAAATCAGTAGAAGCATTATAATATTATGATAAGGCCAATTACAATAAATGAATTTTTGAAAAAAGATCTCATGTACTATACTTATTTCAAATCTATGATTACTTGTGATGCTGAAGACTTGACAATGCAAAGTGGAACCAGAAATTTCTGGTGATAGTAAGCTTCTTTATATAGCTCTCCAAATTAACTGAGCTGAATTTCTCCTAACCTTCTGGAGAAAACAGCCATCCAAAAAACTAGCTTGCTAGTAAGGAATGAGAAACTTCCCGCATAAGTTCAAAAGGATATAAAAGGTTCCAGCAGAGCACACAAATATTTAACCTTTAATTTCATGTTACAGACTCTCTTGTTTCACCTACACAGAAGAACCTCTGGACCATCTGTCCATTTACTCGATAGAGATCCCAAAGCAATGGTCAGTCTGTTCAGGGCTCACGCTAAAAAGCTTGATTCAGATCAGCTGTAAGAAACAAGAGCATCCTCCAAGCTGCGGAGACTGGTATCCGTAGTATGAACACCCAAATGGATCCAGCAGAACTCCTGGTAAATATGGTAGTTTATTTTTCACCAGCTCAGCCCCAGTCAAGGACTAATGCAAATTGCTTCTCTGAATTGAAGCATAAGGACCACTTGTATTAAAAAGCAGAAACTGGACTTCAGAGTTACACATTGCTTAGAGAGCTACCACTGTATTAGATGAACATCTGCTATATTTGTAAAACAATACCTGGTTTTAATAATATTTGTAAACCAAGCTAAAGGAACTAATATAGTTTCTCAATCAGTTTGCTTTTTCTTTACAGTACATACACAAATTACAGTAAGACTCTTCTGTTAAAATATTTAAGAATACAACTGAAAATTATTTACCAGTTAGTGGACGTTTCACTCTTTGAAATCTTGAAATTCAAATCAGCCATCCCTCCCACAGGTACTCTGTCACTTCCTGTAGTAAAATGCAGCAGCTTCTTTTGGAGATCAAGAGGAAATCCGAGTACTACCTCCCAAAAGTATCTACAGGATTCATTAGGGAAGGGGAGAGTTAATATCTTGATAAAAGCAATGTAAAGTTATCACTACACCCTAGGCTCAGATATTGTCACTTAATATAAAAATTCCCATAAATATATAGTTAACTGGTGAACTTAAAAGCAAAAAGTATTTATGTACATTTTCAAACACTGTGTTATCAAAAATGTGCTAGTGACACTCCTCTATACAACTCCTCCCCCCCGCCATTATTTGGAGCCAGATTTTATAACTGGCATAGTGAGGCAAAGGGAAGAGATGTTTTGGCTGAGCTATAGATTACATGCCTGTATCTTACAAACCCTTGTTTTTCAAATGTTGGTTTAGATAAAGATACATATTTACATTTCTGTCTGAAACGTTGTTTAAAACCTATTAGTTACAAGAAATGCCAAGGGTTACTAGGTATTACAGAAAGATCAGATGGAAATATTTTCTTCTCAATTTTTTATGCATTTTATATTTTGTGTATAGACAGTTGCCCCAGTTTGTGTGGATCTTTCACACATCATCAGAGAAGAGAGATAACATTTTAAAATATAGGAAAATAATGTAAAACCACACAGTATCTTAGTGTAGTACCTGAAACTGACTAGACTTAAACCAATTGTGTCCTTTTAAAGACACTTGGCATAGCTAAGGAGGTTCAACTAATATAACTTTTCCTACTAAAGGAAATAAGACTACAGTATTTTAATGTCATTTTGAGATAACCTTTTTAAAACTAAACTTATATCTTAGTACTTAATGACTATATTGAAATTCAGATTTTAATTGCTCCCATTAGTGCATCAGTCTATACTGTTCTTCTATATGAATATTAAGAAGATTAAAAATTAAGTCTACCGTATAGTGAGATCAGTTTTCAGGTAGCCATCATACTGGGTGTTTCTCTGTAGAGCATACATATCTAGTTCAGGACTTCCACAAACAAGAATTTCAACCTCTTCTGGACGAAGTAGCTGCCAAAAAGTCATAACATTTGCTGGCAGAACACTTTTTTAAAAGATATATAATGATACTAATACGATTCAGACTAAGAATTGAAAAATTAAATTGCAGATGTTTTGTTATGTATTGTAGACAAAGTGTGTTATTTTCTTATGAACATTTTTCATGGATAAAAGTTGATATGTGAACTCCAGTATTTACTATTTTGCAGGAAGATCAATTCCTCAGCGCTTAATTTTAAAATCCTGTACTAACAAGCAAGATAAATGTGGCTAATATCCATTAGTGGGTTGTTATTACTATTACCTTTATTCCCCTTTCCTCCTAATGTTTACACTTACTTACTTAGAGTCAGAGATTTAGGCCACTGAGTCTGACCTCCTACACATCCACAGGCCCTAAACTGAACCCAATTACCCTCTACTGAGCCCAACACCAGTAAACTATTGTATGCCACAGCTAGAGAACAGGAAGGAGTGAGTAGCACTAATACTCAAGGCCTCTGTGATTGCAGGGAATTGATTAGGTTAGATATACTCAGATGATTCTAACAATCGACATGCATGCCATGCTGCAGAGTGAGGCAAAACTCCCCATGATTCCTGCCAATCTAACCTGGGGACATTCATTCCTGAAAACAGAAACGGTGATCAGTATGACACTCAGCATGTGAGAAAGACTCACCAGCCAAGCATCTGAGAAGGAATTCCATTTATGCCTCATAGCACTGGCCCATCCTGTCAAGTGTCCTATCTCATACTTCAGAGGAAGGAGGAAAAAAAATACAGAATATACCTCTGGGCCGCTACGCTCAACCCCCCTGTCACAGCATGTCACCCCATCATACAATCCCACTCATAAATTTATCAAGTTCTATCTTAGAATTAGATTGCTTGCCCAATCTACTCCTATTGGGAAGTTCCTCTGATGGTTAGCAACTTTCTAATTTCTGAGCCTTAATTTGTTCATGGACAATTTATACTCATTTGTTCCTCTGTCAACATTTTCCTTTAATTTAACTAGCTCTTCTCCCTCTTTGGTGTTTACCTCCTTGATATATTTGTGCACACTCACATCCCCCACTCAGCCTTCATTTTGCTAGGCTAAAGAAACTAAGTTCTTTCAGCCTCCTCTCATAAGATAGGCCCCACATGCACTAATTGTCCTAGTAACCCTTCTCTGCACCTGTTCCAGTCTGAATATATCTTTCTTGAACATGGGTGAACAGAACTGTATGCAGTATTCCAGGTGAGGTCTTACCACTGCCTTGTACAATAGTGTTAATATTTCCCAATCTCTCCTAGAAATACCTCTCCTGATACATCTTAGGATCACATTTACCTTTTTCACAACTGCCTTTCATTGATAGCCATAGCCATCCTGGGATGAACCCACACACCCAGGTCTCTCTCCTCTTCTGTTGCCTCCAAAGGCTGAGCCCCAGCTTGTAGTAGAAATTGGTATTATAATTCCCCAAGTGCATGTCTTTGAACTTGATATTATTAAATTTCATCTAATTTCTATTACCCCAGTCCTCTAGGTCATCTGGTTCTTTCTGTATAATATTCCGATGCTCCAGGTGTTGAGAATGGAGTCTTCGCCCTGAAAACACTACTAGTTTTAAATCTTTCCCCCTTCTTCCTGAAGTACTAGTGTGGTGCCTGCAAATGTAGGGAGCAGGGAACAAGTACGTATGAACCTGTGACATCTTAATTTCAGGACCCGAAAAGCTCCCAATCAATCAGAAGCTAGACCTTGGAGCAATTCATTGACATGCTGTTGGTCAGATTAGGAGCCACAGTACCATAAAACCGGTTCCAAGCCACCTTAATAGGCTCTTCCCTGTCCAGGAAGGAATTAACTGTCCCAGTGACCAGAGGGCCTTCTGTTGCAATCTCACCAAATTCACTGCTCTCTGGTCAGTAAGTGGGAAAGATACTCCTTGATTGGGATTTCTGGTTGTCAGTCATATTCAATCTCCACTGATATCGTAAAACCCGTATAACCAAACCCATTAACTAAAATCCTTTTTCTGTGCTTAAGTTAAACTTTATTGAGTAAGAAAATAAAGGAAGGCATGTACTCAGTAATGAAATGTGTATAATTTAACTCCTTTAATCTAAAACAGATGTCAAGGGACTCCTGGCACTAACAGAGAATACTTATTACTATAGAAGTATGATATAATGAACAAGATTGGATAATTGATAAAGGGTGCTTACAATCCAGTTATGTTCTGTGATTAATAAGAGGTATTTGTGAATACAAATATTTTCTGTAATTTATAAAAAATGACACAGTCAAAGATGTTTTTAACTCCTTTGGAAATGCTTGCTGGAACAGATGTTCTTAATAACAATAACTGGGGTTAGAAATCCCTTTAGCGTATCAATCATGTAAATTAAAATACCATAAAAATTCCGTAAGTATTAATTTAAATAAATTAAAATATTAAAACAGAACACACACAATCAACTGTGGGAAAGTAGTTTTTCCCCTCCCAACAAATAAACGGTCTTTGTTCTAAACCAGTATATAAAGGAATAAATTTTGAAAAGTTAGTTGGAAGTGAGCAAGTTGCCATCTCAGTTATTTTTATATATTTAAAAAGAGAACAATGCCATCTCTTCATAATTTACAGAGGGTAGTATTCTGTATCATACTGTATGAATCTTTAACTAATAAGCTCTAATTAAGTAATTCCAATTAAGACAATTGTCTACCACCTAGTGTTATTATTATTATTATAATATTCAAACATGCAACATTGCCCTGTGGCTACTTGCAAACTATGTGGCTGAACTATCAGGTTGCAGAAGTGGTGAAAAACTAATGGAGACTAAGCTCCAGTGTCAGCTCTTCTCCCTGTCAATTTCTGATTGGCCCCATGGTTCATGAGAAAGGGAACTGATATAGCAGCTGAAGAGGCCAGCAAAGACTGGAAGAGAGAAGAAGTGGTGCCGGAGAAGTTATCAGATTCCTGCCCCACTGTAGGGATGATCCATAAGTGGGGGGCTGAAATTGAGGGACCCAGAAAGGCTTTTAAGATGGCTATCTGGCTTTTCTTCATGTTCTCTTTGAGTAAAACTGTACCCATTATTTACTCCCCTGTAAGTACACAAGACTGCATGATCCTCACAACTCCCTCTCAACAATCCAACTAGAAATGGGGGAGGGGCAGAGGAGGGAAGCCACCAGTATATCTGCCATTAGTCCTCATTTGGCCAGAACAGGCTTCGCTTTAGAAAACCTGCCCAAGGTAACTCAGGTCCTGGTCAGCATCACAGGTGTGCATGACAGGCAACCACTCTTTCCTCTACTACCTGCTGGCATCCTTTCTCACTTGCACATACTGGGCTTCCAGTTCCGATCCTCTCTAATGGTCTAGAGATGTGTTCAGCTCAGTAAAGGGTTTAGTCTGGAGCCAGATCCTGCATGCACTGAAAAGAAGCAGTCAGCAGGGAGGAGGCAACTGAGCAGCCACGAGGTATTTTTTGCAGCCAAAACAAGGTAGGTCACTAGGAAGAGGCAAGCCATGGGGAAAAGTGAGGGAGAAAAGGGAAGTTTCAGGGGAAAAATGGGGAACAATATTATTTTCAAGGGATGGTTTTTCATGTCAGCCAGCGGTGTGGGGTCTACTGAAGGATTTTATGTTCATTCTGCTGAGTTTTGGGTGACTTCTCTTTGCTTTTTCTCCCATTACTTTCTAAGATGAAAATAACCTAAAATTCACCAAAAATGCCCAAAGAACTGTTTATTAACAGACCCTAGTAGTCCCACCCTTTGATTATAAGGATAGAATAAGAATAAGGATAGAGAGGGGAAGAGAATGGATTACACTAGGTGACACCACCTGGGCTATATCATGAGTAGGGTTGCCAACTTTGGTTGGATGAATTCCTGGAGGTTTAATCACATGACATTATCTTTAGTTAAAAATTAATCTTTAATTCCTGGAGACTCCAAGACAATCCTGGAGGGTTGGGAACCTTAATCATGAGAGACAGAGGGGCACCTCTGCAAACCTGCCACAGAAGAGGGGATCTAGCTCTGCACACCTGGGAATCACTGGCTTAAAACTAAAGACTAAAGTGAGGAAACAGAGGTTCCATTTGTGGTTTTATTATAGAATTGCAGTTACTTAAGACAAGATTTTAAAAAACTGGTATATAAAGTTAAGGTTTTGAGTTCACATTTAGGCTCCTAAATAAATGGCCTGATTTCCAAAAGAGATGAGCAGCCACTAAGTTTAGTGAATACTGCTGGGTGATAAGCACTTTTGAAAAACCAGGCCACACTGAATCCTAACTGTTAAAAATCCTACCCATTAGAAAAAAAAAAAAAATCTTGGCCTTAATCTGTTGCAATTATCTGTCTATAGAAGGGGGATCATACTGGTTACTTACTAGCAGTATTGTGAGCGGAAATACATTAAATATCTTTAAAGACCTTTAAGATTCTCCAATGAAAACACTATTCTTTCCAACTCTGTAATATTGCAGAGTCCTAAATATTAATGCAATTATATAGTGTTTTTCTCAAATAGTTTTCTGGACATAAGAACATAAGAATGGCCATATTGGGTCAGATCAAAGGTCCATCTAGCCCAATATCCTATCTTCCAACAGTGGCCAATGCCAGGTGCTTCAGAGGGAATGAACAGAACAGGTAATCATCAAGTGATGATCCATCCCCTGTCATCCATTCTCAGCTTCTGGCAAACAAAGGCTAGGGATACTGTCCCTGCCCATCCTGGCTAATAGCTATTGATGGACCTATCCTCCATGAATTTATCTAGTTATTTTCTAAACCCTGTTACAGTCTTGGTCTTTACAACATCCTCTGGCAAAGAGTTCCACAGGTTGACTGTGCATTGTGTGAAGAAATACTTCCTTTTGTTCATTTTAAACCTGCTGCCTATTAATTTCATTTCGTGACCCCTAGTTCTTGTGTTCTGAGAAGGAGTAAATAACATTTCCTTATTTACTTTCTCTACACCTGTCATGATTTTATAGACCTTTATCATACCCCTCTCTCCCCTTACTTGTCTCTTTTCCAAGCTGAAAAATCTTAGTCTTATTAATCTCTCCTCATATGGACGCTGTTCCATATCCCTAATAATTGTTGTTGCCCTTTTCTGAACCTTTTCCAATTCCAATATATATTTTTTGAGATGAGATGACCACATCTGCATGCAGTATTCAAAATGCGGGCATACCATGGATTTATACAGAGGCAATATGACATTTTCTGTCTTATTATCTATCCTTTTCTTAATGATTTCCAACATTCTGTTAGCTTTTTTGACTGCCGCAGCACACTGAGTTGATGTTTTCAGAGAACTATCCACAATGACTCCAAGATCTCTTTCTTGAGTGGTTATATTCAGGAAGGCCCATTGATCACAGTGGGACTACTCTTATGCTTAAAATTAGGCATTTGCTTAAATATTTTGCTGAATCAGAGCCTCTATGAACACTGAAAAAAGTCAGTTAAATTATTAAAGTTTATTTATCTAATTCAGATCAGTCATTTTCAATTCTTTGTCACAGATTTATAATAGAAGTAAACCAAACTTTAAGATAATATTAAATAAAGTTTACTATAAGACTTTTCATCTTATTCTTACCATCAATGCATATGAATCACAGACACTATGGAATCCATAATAAAAAGCTGCAAACTGTTTGTAGATTGATTTGTTGAGAATGAAGTCAACATAAAGCTGCACATATTCTAAAAAAAAAACAAAAAAAACATTTGATACCCTTTATATTAGATATTAATAAAATTATTTCAGACTATCATTTATTGTATTATCTTAAACAGAGTTGAAATAATTTAAAACTTTTAAAATACATTTTACTTTACATAGCATTAGCAAGTTCATTCTGAATTTTATTTTTACTACTCAGCTAAATAACAAAATCTATAGTTACAAGTGAAGTTTGGTGCATTGCAGTTGGCATATTTATATCTTTAGTGTACCTTTCCTATTCTGAGCCGTAACTGGAATTTTATCACCACCAGGCTTTAGGTTATAAGATTTTATGACTCCAAATTCTTCTTGAAAAACCTGGAGAAAGAGAGAAGATGGTATAGTACATGTAACACCTTTGGTCCATTATGGCAAATAAATCATTTATCAATAGTTTTGCATATTTCTGAGAGATTTTTAAAAATTATGCGTTATACTTTTTTGTATTTTTCTTAACAAACAAATATACTATTTAAAATGTGTTAGTTGTGTGGTAAGGCTCAGATACCACAAAGGAGAAAGATGCAGAAAAGGATTTAGGAGATTAAATATATTAGAAGAAATAAACTCTCTTTTAATTGTAGGTCCCACAAAATTGAAAATAATTTAGGTTATAAAAATTCTCATACCAGCTGATGACAGTATAATTCCCAGCTAAAGCAAAAAAGCCTTGAACTAGATTAACAAGCCTTTGTCAGGCCTAACAACCGTTTTCAGGCTGTTGCAGGCCTAAACCCAAGCTTCCTTGGCTAAACTAAATCATTCCAGATTAGAGCAAGCCTCTGCTAAGTTTAAAACTCCCATGGCATACCAAATCTTCCATAACTGGATCAGGATTCTCTTTAAGCCAGTGTTCCAGACTGGAGTATATCAAATAGTTAGTACAAGCATTTGCCAAAAACTAGCCCCCAGATTAGGTAAAGTCTTTCAAATTAGGTAGGTCTCTGCCTAAATCAGGCTTCCAGGTCAACTTGAATCCCAAATTTACTAAATCCTCCAAAGCTACAGCAAGCCTTTGTCTGGGCCAACCTTCCAGGCTAAACTGACTCTTTCAAAGCTAGGGCAAGCTTTATAGTTCTTTAACCCCAACCCCACTGAACTCCAGACAATCAGCAATCACTCTCTATGATGGACTACTCTACCTATGAATAAATCTCCTGAGATGGATCAATAATTACTATAAACTGTAGAGTCTGTGTTCCTACAGTACCTGGAAAGTTGAATAAAAGTCTTCTTCAACGTTGTCTTCATAGGATAGAAGCTCACTTAGTCCATGGGCCAACTCCTGGGGGGAAAAAATTACTAAATTAGCTACAATTCCACCTTGTCCTTTTAAAGTACAACAATTTACTACTGAGAAACACCATGGGCAAAATTGCACATTAAAGCATACTATACATAAAGCAACCTGTTACTCCACATGTGCAGAAATTATTTTTCAACTACTAATAACTATATTTTGAATTTTTCCCCTCACCAGGCAAAGGAACTTATTTCCAATATGTTCATACTGAATTCATCTTTCAAACATCAGCTACAAATGGATCTAAAAAACCCTGTTAGATTTTTTTTAAACAAATGGAAAAAAGGGAGATTTATCAGTAATTGTTCCCCAGATGTTACCTTTGAAAGAAAGGTACAACTAAACAAAGAGCTCATAGAGAAGGGGCTGCTTCTGTATTTTGCCTACCACCATTATATCACACTTATTCAAGTAGATTAAATTTAGTATCCAGGTCTGTAATAAGTAAGCTGGAGTCCCAGTGCCACAGAGACTAAACTCTTATTCTACCAGGGGAGTGACTGCTTGGAATGCTTGCATCCAGAATGTATGTATTTTGCAAATTTGTAGGGCTGCTACTTGAAGTTTAGTTTCCAGCTTTATGTTGTTTAAATAATCACGACACTCTTGACACTGGGGTCAAGATCAGATGCTAATATTGGGAGAGCAGCTCTTCAATTTAAAAAAAAAAAGTACTCCTTTGACACCACTTGGTTCTGTTATTGTATGTTATCCCTCTACAGTGAGGATTCAGAGGCATTTTACTGAGGGAGAAATGTATTTCTCCCAAAATGCCCAAATAACTGTGATGAGCCTGAGTGAAAGGCTCAGTGTGTCCAGATGGTAACTAAATAGCCCATTCCATGCCCATCTTATGCTTATGTAACTTCTCTTTGTGGCATGAAGACACCATAGGCCAGATTTACAAAGGTAAATAGGTACCTAAACATGCAGCAAAGTGCTTACTGGAATTTACAAAAATATCTAAGTAGGTTAGGTACCTAGCTCTCACTCAAAGTCAATGGGAGTTAGGCACTTAACTCACAGAGTGCTTTTGTAAATCCCACTAGGCGCCTATATGCATCTTTAGGCTCCTATGCACTTTGGTAAATCTACTGTCTGGCCTGCGTATGTGTATCTGGAGGAATGCTTTGCCTCCCCCTTCCTCTTCAATATGACTGCAAGAGGAGCTATGACTCTCAGTATTCAAAAATGGAACCTACTGATAGATAAAGTGGTTTCTTGGCAGGAAAAATAAGATCTGAAGATCTTGTCTTCAATTTATGATCTGATGGTTTCTTTGTTGGAGAAGCTGGACCGAAAGATCATCTCTGATTTCAAAGTCGAAGATTCTGAGACTTCTGAAGAAAGGAGTTGAGCAGGTCAGACTTCAATCCAGGTGGGAAGTTTAAGACTGAGCTCATGCTTCTTACCCCTACCCTGGAATATGGTGCCACACAAAAAAATAATACTAATGCAAGTACCCATCAGCATACAAAGTGCCTTAATGATAGGGTAGCGACATCTTCCAACTGCATGGGGCACCTTTTTTTGATTCCCAAACTCTTTTTAGGATATATCATCTTGTGCTGATGCAGATTTCAGAATATTGCTACTCAGTTGTAGAAACTAACCCCACTACAATTATTAGAAATTAATCTGGCCATTACAAAACTTTTGTGGGCTTTTTTAAACCATAGGAATGAAGACTGATAATGATCTAGCAGGTGGCTATAGAGGAACTGAGGTCAATTAAATGGCCGAGGCCATTTGTAACTTCATTGAGAATGCTTAGACCCAGAACTGACTCATGTACACCGTTGAGAGTTTTACTGCATCTAGTGATACCATGGATTGCAAAATATAGCACTGGTCTCTTAGAGTGGCGTTCTGCATAGTAAATTTCTTAGAAGTGAAGTTTCATGAGTTTGTGTGTAGTTTTGCTTTTTTAACTCCCATAACTTAAATGGCAGAAGGGAAAATTTTATTCAATCTTTTACAAGCAAAAAATAAATAAATAAGATCTTCAAGAAGAGAGAAAATGGTGAGTCGTTTGGAAAGCATATAAAAAAGGGGCTTATAAAATGAAATGTTCTGCAACATTTAAATGAAATCGAAGCACCCAAGCACCCATAAATGAAACCAATTATTATTTAAATAAACTATCCTTTAAAATACTGCTTTTTACTTACTGGTATAATATGACACAGGTCATCTAATGAAACATCACTGATGCCTACAGGTGTGTTCTGATCACAGGGAACAATGGGAGGACTCAAAAGTTTCTTATAACAGCAAGGTGGGAAGCGAATATCCAAGGTGATACTGTTATACACGGCAAGTCCCATAAGCTTTACATGTCAGATGTTAAGTAGAAAATCATATTCTTATTATTCTTTTTAAATCACTTTTGGAAGAATATTTTACACTGTTAGTGAGTATTTTGTAAGTATTAAACAAAACTGAAAAGGCAAGAAAATATGTTCCTTTTTCAACATTTCCATCATTCTTTTAAGAGTCTACTGTCTAATGTAAGAATTATTAAACTAAAAAATATTAACATGATCAAATAATGCACTTCTATTCAACACTTGAATTGCTTCATACTTAAGATTCTAATACAGCATGAAACATTTTTTGAACTACTATAATATGGAAAAAAAGTTAAAATGAAACTATAGACATAGGTATCTTTAATCTAAAAAATTCTACAGAGGTCTTAACATACCAATGTTTCCATAAAAATTAAACACATTAAGATAAACTTATGCTGACAGTGTAGGTCACCAGCAGGCCTATTCAGGCATATTTGGTAGGAGTGCACAAAGATCTAGAGTTTTTGGGAACTATTAATGAGAAATCAGGTTGATTTTACACATTTTTGTACAAATCAATATGATTACTGCTGTACCTGAGAAGTTAATTATCCATCAAGAGAAGCTGCCCGTCTTTTGTGATTGTTACTGGTTACTGCCAGATTTGTTATTACATCCCATTAGTTTAACCTTCCTGTGCCAGGCAGCCAACTGGGTAAAGCATGGGATATTTTCCTTATACAAAGTTTAAATATAAGACCAGGCTATTGGTTTCCATTTACTAAATATGCCAGTTCTAATAAACAAATATATAAGCCATCCGATTTACTGCCTATTCCACCAGGCTGTTTTTCTTTTTGTATTTAGCAGATTAAATCCTGTTTACTGTATGTATTCATTCTATTTGTAATGACTATACTGTTTAATGATTTTTTTAAAAAATTCAGTTTATTTATTGCTAATCATTTTGTTGATAAGTTATGTCATTTATAATAGCAGTGTGAGTAACCTATACTAGATTATATGTCAACTGGTTTAACAGTCAGCAAGAAATTACTTTTTTCAACCAAAGATTCAATTTTGCAGATGAAACTTTACGGTCTATGAACTATTATTATAAAATAGATTTTAAACTGGTTACTAATAGGAGTTCCATACTTTAAAAAAAATCTAATTCTTAATTTCCTAACTTTGAAGTGCTTGATTTTCCTGACTTTACATTATTTTAATGTAGTTTTTTGTATGTAATGTATACATACACAATATGTATTTTCCTTATTTTCCTACAAGAATCACTAGTCAGTATATTCTGTTTAGCTTTTTAAAGCAAAAAAAAAAAAATCTTTTACTGAAAAATAAAAGCATAATAAAAACTAATTCTGATATTGTATATTTATACTTAATCAGAACTTCCTAGCTTTTTGTTTTTACATTTAGTAACTGATTAAAATACTATGCAGGTAGCACCTTCAAGTGGACAGCAAAGGATACAGCTCCAACCAATCGGAATTCAGAGTAGTTATCACATTTATAACTGCTAAACCAGTGACAGTGTGAATCCTTGTGATATGTAAACATACCTGTGGAATGTAAAAATTATTTCACAACATTATTTATCTGCAATGAAAAAAATCCCCCCAAAGCATATATTTGTCTTACGCTTTCTTCATCCTTTTTTTAGCTAACAGTGTGTGTATATCAGTGAGTGCCCTCATTCTAGATACTTTCCTTCCTTTCCACAGCAGTACAGGTAGTTGTTTGGCAATCTTGAAGGATGCCAGCACATATTCACTGACACAATGTCACAAGCTGTATTGCCATGTAAGGCATGGTTGTGGGCTGTCTCACAGAAATCACCAAACAATAGTGAAATTGACAATGTTAAAGTCAATTTGCTAAAGAATTGTATTTAAGATCCATATTTATGGGGCCAAAAATTAGAGAGTTAGAGTGAGTCAAAATTGCTGGAAAAAACAAGAGCAAAATATGTTCTAATAATGGCCTTGGGATATGTGATTTAGAAATTGAGGAGACAGAGACCCACTGGATAGCACAATACTGACTATCATGTTCACAATTCTCAAATAAGGAGCTGGCCCTCATGCAGGCAAGTCCCACATCTATACACAATTATTGTGCTTCAGCTTACAGACACTGAAGGTATGTTTACACAGCAAAGAAAAACCTGTAGCTGGCCTTTGCCAGCCGACTCGGGCTTGGAGGGCTCAGGCTACGTGACCCAATAGAGAATATTAAAAAAAAGATCCAAGGTGGATGGCTAAACATTTGAAAAACTAAAAATGCCTATCCATCCCTGTTTTTAATTCATCCTGTTTTTAATCTGTTAATCTTAAAGAAGTAAATTATGAGGACTCACCATAGTCTGGGTGAAAAATCTGGCGAATAAGGAGAAGAAACCATTCTTTTGTCAAGCCACCCATATCAAGACCAGCCTCCCCTACAAATGTAACTTTCAACTTTTTTTTCAAATCTGCCCTCTTCCGTGTCAGCTATTAAAAAATTAAAATTAAATAAATCAGAGACTCCCAACATATTTAATATTACAGAACTTCTGGATAACACAAATGTGCTTATTTTATTTCTACAGCTATTATTTCAAGTGAAATATGAATCCATAAAGTTACTGAATTCTAATTCATAATTCAAGTTTATATGAAAATAACGGTCTAGACTGGGAGAGTTAGCTAATCATAATTGTTTGGCCACTCTCCCTCCTGACTCATGAGGTCTCTGTCCAGGCTTGGAAGCCATCTTGGGAGTCAAGGCACCAAATAGCTCTCATCCATGCTCTCTCTGAGTAACTGGGTCCTGGGTATGGCAGCAGTGGGTTAAAAATTTGGGTAAGAAATTGGAAGAAGAAAGCCTAAAGTATTTAATAATCTAGGAGCATGTGTAATTCTGTGGACAAGTTAATTATAGAAAGGTAAGTGAAGTGTCATTTGAGTCATTAAAATCTATGGAATCATAATTTCAATGGTATCACCTTTTTAACCGATGATGGCAATCAACTTCAAGCATTCCTTCCGTTTATAGTAATCTGCAACCTTAAAAATATTAATCCAGGTATCACGTTCTGGGCATTAACCGATAACACATTATTGTCAGTCAAGAGCCTCAACAGAACTTCATGAGGGCTGCCACGTTTGACAAGCCTGTGTTAAAGTATAATTTAAAAAAATTATTTTTAAATATTTTCTTTAATGTATAGCTACATAATTGTTCCAGACTTGTCCTGTTTGGTGCCATAGTGTTTGTTAGAGAAAGGACTTTTGAATGATACCCAACTTGACCCATTTCCGACCACACTGTATTATCAAAATGTCCACCAACTGCAGGACCTGGAGTGGGGGACCCATAAGAACATAAGAATGGCCATATTGGGTCAGACCAAAGGGCCATCCAGCCCAGTATCCTGTCTACCGACAGTGGCCAATGCCAGGTGCCCCAGAGGGAGTGAATCTAACAGGTGATGATTAAGTGATCTCTCTCCTGCCATCCATCTCCACCCTCTGACAAACAGAGGCTAGGGACACTATTTCTTACCCATCCTGGCTAATAGCCATTAATGGACTTAACCTCCATGAATTTATCCAGTTCTCTTTTCTGTTATAGTCCTAGCCTTCACAACCTCCTCAGGCAAGGAGTTCCACAGGTTGACTGTGTGCTGAGTGAAGAAGAACTTCCTTTTATTTGTTTTAAACCTGCTACCCATTAATTTCATTTGGTGGCCCCTAGTTCTTATATTATGGGAACAAATAACTTTTCCTTATTCACTTTCTCCTCACCACTCATGATTTTATATACCTTTATCATATCCCCCCTTAGTCTCCTCTTTTCCAATCTGAAAAGTCCTAGACTCTTTAATCTCTCCTCATATAGGACCTGTTCCAAACCCCTAATCATTTTAGTTGCCCTTTTCTAATGCCAGTATATCTTTTTTGAGATGAGGGGACCACATCTGTACGCAGTACTCAAGATGTGGGCGTACTACGGATTTATATAAGGGCAATAAGATATTCTGTCTTATTCTCTATCCCTTTTTTAATGATTCCTAACATCCCATTTGCTTTTTTGACTGCCGCTGCACACTGTGTGGATGTCTTCAGAGAACTATCCACGATGACTCCAAGATCTTTTTCCTGATTAGTTGTAGCTAAATTAGCCCCCATCATATTGTATGTATAGTTGGGGTTATTTTTTCCTGTGTGCATTACTTTACATTTATCCACATTAAATTTCATTTGCCATTTTGTTGCCCAATCACTTAGTTTTGTGAGATCTTTTTGAAGTTCTTCACAGTCTTAACTATCTTGAACAGTTTAGTATCATCTGCAAACTTTGCCACCTCACTGTTTACCCCTTTCTCCAGATCATATATGAATAAATTGAATAAGACTGGTCCTAGGACTGACCCTTGGGGAACACCACTAGAGGAGAAGTGAGCTCCCCTGCCATGCCACTGCAATTATGATTCTGTAGATTTTTACAAATCAAACAACCCCCACCCCTTATCTTGGTAACACTAGCTTGCCCACCACAGAATGAGATTTTACTACACTGTGCTCCTACACTATAAAACTTGAGGAGAGAAGGTCGTGAAAGAAGAAATCACACAGTATCTAAAGCATTAGAAGAAGTTGGAACTCCTACCTGGGAATATGATACAATATAATCTGATGATTATGCACAGTATTATTAATGGGTTAACTTTACATTAATATTTTTAAAATTTATTTTTAGTTAGCATGTACATACATAAAATGCACATAACTGTGTGTGTAAAGTGGGTAAATGTGCAGGAGACAACGACTGAAAATGTGGTTAATTTCCTCAGCTACCGTTACAAATGTTTTAAATAGATTCATTATAGAAATAAGTCCCATCAGACTGAATTAAAAATGTTACAGATACTTTTCAACAAACATTAATTAATTTCCATTTTCTGTACCTCATCAAGTGAATCACTAACAAGGTGCATCCTTCTCACTTTCAAGTTTAGGAATAACATATTCATGTCAGGTCTCTGCCTGCGAGAGACTTTGTCCACCAGACTTTGCTATTTGGAATAAAAAAAAAAATATTTTACATACACAACAGTTTTGCTTAAGAAGCCAGATCAGCCCTCAGTACCTAGCACCATTTCCTCTTAACAGCTACTTCTCCCTTATATCCAACACTGTGTCCTGTGACCTGTATATGTACTCTTGTATTCCGATCTATCATTGTTCACATTAGCAGAATAAAATTGACAACTAACAATGAGTTTCAGGGCAATGTATTCCCTCATAATTATCTTCCTCATTAATCTGGCCTGCCTGTCACTCATGGGAGTGGTGAAGAAAGATTCATATATTGCAGAAGACTAAAGAACAGCACATTATACTGTAGAAACACATTTATGAAGCTACCGCAGCCCTAGGCAAACTAAAACAAGAACACTGTGTAAGCATTCTTCATGGCCTTTTGCAGACTAGAAGTTACAGAATGATCTAATTTTTTTTTCTTATGAGGTTAGCCCTAAATTTCAGAGATTGCAACGAATAATTTTACAGAATGTTTAACAGATTAAAATGTATAACATTATTTTTACTTGAACATCATTTATCACAAAGTTACTTACCCGTGCCATGCTTATCATCTGTTGTTCTGAGTCCCTTTGAATAATAACTTTTTTTGCTGCTATAGAAATAATGAATGGATACTGACAGAAAGAAAACCTGAATGGCAAAATAGACAGGAAGTTAAATAAGGTGTAATTTTTACTAAAGATAATAAAACAAGAATCAATCTTTGTATTACAGTTTAGTAATTTTCCCCTCCGTTAATATTTTTATAAGAGTTATTTGTAAATAACTCTTCTTCTGAAATAGCTATTGTTCTTTCTGCATTGTGTGCACAGATGTTAATTTAATCTTGTGCAAACCATTTTAGTGTTAACTAACAAGGACTTAGCATTCAAAGTATTTGTATATACTTTTTCACAATAGACCTTTAATCTTTATTGTAGCATCTACCATCATTGCACTTTCACGTGACTGAAGAAGAAAGCCAGCCACTATAGTATGCAAACAGTATCTTTGGTATTGAATACTAAATTTGAATTGTTAAGCAGAGCTAAAGAATAAAAAAAAACTTAATTTTTAAATGACTTTGATTGCAAAAAAGATGTCTCATGTCTACTATTTTCCAGTCAATTAAAGCACATAATGTAAATACTTGTATTTTATGCTATTTGCTGGGGCCTGATTGACATTTGGAGCTGCAGGTATCCAGCACTTCTGAAAAGATCAGGCCATTAGTAACATTATTTTTCAATCAATCAGTATTAAGAATGATAAACACTCAAGAATCCCAAAAGTGACAAACACCTATGGTTCTTTTGTTAGTTTTCTTTGTTAAAGTTAAGCTCTCATGAAAGTGAGGGCATAGACAGCACTAACTTGAGCAAAGAACAGAGCATGTAGATGCTGTCCAAGCTTCCTCATGTGGCTCTGCTAGTATTCAGTCATGACATGCAGTAAAGTTATTTGTCTCCTTAGCCTATTCTCTGATAACTGTGTAGAACATTGTACATATCATAAAGCTACTACAGTGAAGTATGACACTCCCTCCCAAAACAAAATTTGCCTTGGAACTTGTGCAGGAATTTGGACTTTGGGCCCCCAACATGCAAGGATAGTGTATTAGTCCACTGTACTATCTGCCAAAAAAACAGTGTCATCTTTCATATAATACCTAAAGTTTCTTTCATCCTTCACCTTTAACAACATTATATGGGCCACAAGTCAACAGTTAGTATTCTTAGTCAACAGAGACATCATTCACTAAAGAAACATTGATTCACCATGTAAACTAAAAATGAACTTACTAAATATTCTACACCACTCATTAAAAATCAATTTGAAACTAACTCTAAGACTGATGAAGTGGTCCACATGTCCTGTTACAATACAAAAATTTACAGCTACATTAACAACAGACAAAAAAAATAAGAAATGTATGTGAACCGCATCAGCACAGCATTTCTATCAAGAATTTTTATAAAACCTAACAAAAAAGATTACTTACCAATAACTTTAAGTTGAGTGTATTTCTTTTGTTCACATTTATGGGATGTGTGGCCTGGTACAGCTGAGTTTCAGGAACTTTCTGGAAAACACTCCACTGTTGCTCTGAACATTGAGACTCAAGCCTATACAAAGGATTATGGAGCCCACAACCACCAAATGAACTCCATAATCCCGCGAGAACAAAGTTGTGAAGAAGAGAGAAAGGTGGGAGCAGAGTGTGAATACGCAGAGGCAACCCTCCTAAAGAACTACATTTGCTGGTGAATAATCTTTTTTTTTTTCCGAGGTTTGCCTCTGTATATTCCTGATCATGAGGTATAAAACAGGATGATGAGAAGTGCTCTCATATCATCCTTGTTTTGAGAATTTAACGGGCAGCTAACTAGTACTGCACTGGCTTCATTCACAGGCAGGGACCACTAGGTCCTGTGACATAGGTGCAGGAGGCCACAAGACTTAACCACGTTAGAAAGAAACTCACTGACATTTGATAATTGTTCTTTAATGGAATAGTAGCTTAGAAAACATCCTGAAATCTCTCTTCAGGATAAAAAATGGCCAGGATTGCACCAATATAAGAAGATATCTTTTGAGTAGGTACCAGAGAAATGAAGCAATACCCATGTCACTTTCAGGAATTCTTCTAAGGTTTGTGGTATACAAATGCAAACCAGCCAGTTCTCCCAAGTACAGGTACACTGGAATACCTTAATATCAGAAGTATGGTGCAAGCACAGCCGAACAACTGGTAAATCAGAAAACAGTAATGTCTGTTGCCTGCACTTAAATATTTGTGTTGGTAAGTCTGAATGAGATATGTAAGCATCTTTTAAAAAAGTTGATAGCCTTATACAGGCTTCATAGAGAAAAGATAAGAATGATGGAAGCAAATATCAGTGTTTGTAATTTGAATTTCTTCATTAACTCTGTTAATTTTTTTAGCCTTCATATCATCATGGATCTATCCTGATTTTTTTACATGAGAAATGATCTTGAATAGACAGAACATCCCCTTTGTGCTGATCAGGCACCTTCCTTCTTTAGTTTCAAACTTTACAGAGAATTCTCCTCTGCTCTGAATAGTGTTTAGTGAGAAGAAACCCTTGTAAGCATATGGGAAGAGAGACTGGGTTGCCCCATGGAATTGGATTGTGTGGCCCAACCAAACTTTAACCACCAATGATCCATGGTAATTTCACTCCCCATTGCAAGGAAATGGACCAAATGGTCCCCAACCACCAAAGATGACTAGAAATTAATGAATGGCACAGGTTTCTCAGGCAATTTGTTAATATGTTGCTTAGTGGATGCAGAAGCCACGTGAACATCAGTAGTCAAAACTGACCTACTATTTTTTTCCACCCCCAAGCCAGGCAGATCATAACAGATATAAGCTGAAGGGAGGAGAAACAGTCAGAGTTACTGGAGCTGGTTGTGGTCGCAAGAATGGTGAAAACTACACACACAAAAAACACAGTTTGAAACTGGTATGCTTGTCCAGATTGGCTACAGTCCTCTGTTCTGAGGCCCCACTGGGGATTTAGACTATGTAATACTGCAGAAACAAGGGAAAAAACAAGGGAAAAACCCCAAAGTAAAAAAAGAATTAAAATTATACCAAGAGTGATATAGCTGGACTAAACTACACTATGGCCAAAAGCCAAACAAAACATGTCTGGCTATAGACAATAGGTCCCAATGTCTACAGCTAGCCAAGAAAAGGAAAGAACTGAGGTGGGGTGAAGGCCAAATAGCCCTACTAAAAGCTTGGTTCTGAATGTTCAGAGCCAGAAGGAGGCACTCCTGTGAACCCAAATGGCATTGTTTCCTAGGAAGTTCCTGAAGCTCAGCAGTTCTGGGACATACCTGTGAATTTGCAGCTGAAATTCTGTAGTTTTCTGAAGATATTTGTACGACAAGATTCCATGATACTAAAAGTTTGTAAAATGCTTTTATATTTCCAAATCCAAATATCAGGCATCACACTGAAGCCTGATCTAAAATACCTGTAATGGTGCGAACAAATTCTGCCCTTAAGGTTTTCTTCAGCTCCTACTAAAGTCAATACAAATAGCACATATATAAACACAAGGCCGCATTTGTTTTTAGTATCTTTAACTTACTGAGAACATTTCAGTGTACTTTGAAATAAAAAAATAAAAAGTAAAATAAAGAAAGATGTAATTAGTCTCTCTTGATTCAAGCCATCAAGATCCCTTCAGAAATCCTTAATGAGATGATATATTGTCTAATCTGATCCAAAATTTTCATTTTGTAAAAACAAGCTTTTGTGAAATCAATGAAAAAAGTTTTCATTAAAGATTTTTTTTAAATTCAAACGAAAATTTTAATAAATATTCCTCTTCTATTTCTGTAACCCAAATGTGCTGTCTCATGAGAATCTAAAGTCTTAATTTCACTGTACAAGCTGAGCAAAATGCAAAAAATAAAACAGCCTAACAGTGAAAAATAAACTGAATTTTACATTTTCTTCCACTTTAATAACCTGAAGTATTACTTAGAACATGAGACTTGTTGCCAAAAGTGACAGTTAAAGAAAGACCCTAAGCCTGCAAAGGCTTACTCACATTTATCTTTATGCACTGAAAATAGTTCTATTGACCTCAGTGAAATTGATCACAGTCTGTAAAGTTAAGCATGTGTTTAAGTCTTGGCAGGATCAGAGCCAAATTCTGGAAGGACACATATAGTATATGAATGTCTGATATGTTTTATATATAAAATGGTTAATGCCACTTGATATTAATAGGTGTCTCTCTTATTGTGTGGCAGACAAAAATAATTTGTATCATGATAAAAATAATTCATATTAAAAAATTTGTCCAGTAGAACCTCAGAGTTACTACGTACACCAGAGTTACGAACTGACCAGTCAACCAAACACCTCATTTGGAACCTGAAGTACACAATCAGGCGGCAGCAGAGACCAAAAAAAAGCATATACAGTACAGCACTGTGTTAAACGTAAACTACTAAAACATTAAAGGGAAAGTTTAAAAAAAGAGTTGACAAGGTAAGGAAACTGTTTTTGTGCTTATTTTATTTAAATTAAGATAGTTAAAAGCAGCATTTTCTTCTGCATAGTAAAGTTTCAGAGCTGTATTAAGTCAATGTTCAGCTGTAAACTTTTGAAAGAATAATCATAATGTTTTGTTCAGAGTTATGAACATTTCAGAGTTACGAACAACCTCCATTCCTGAGGTGTCTGTAATTCTGAGGTTCTACTGTAATTAGATTTCACTAGCTGCCTTTTGTACTGTCAATATTAGCAAACAATGAACTTATATTATTGTCTACAATTTTTACCTTTTATCTGATTTAAATCAAAGTGTGAAATCCTGGCCCCACTGAAGTCCATGGCAAAACTTCCAATGCCTTCAGTAGGGTCAGGATTTTACTGAAACTGTCAAAACTATCTATTTGAAAAAGACATGGTGCTGAACTTTAAAATAAATAGACAAACCTATAACGAACAACAAAAAAACAATCTATTTCTATTCATTGTTAGACAAAACCTGACTCTTGCCAGTTTCTCTTTTACCTGTGAGAGTTTCCATAACACTGCCAGTTATGATACTCTTCCATGAGATCAATATGATCCAAAGTAGAATTATAAAAATCCATATATGGAATAATAGCAGGATTAGCTAGGCTATTTGCAGCATCTACAAAGAAAACATACAGAATCACTATTAGGAACTCTCTCAAACTACTGTCCCAATGAGGCACACCAATTTTCAAGCTGTGTGAATGTCAGAGCACTTAGAAAAATCAGCTGTTATACAGCCATCTCTTTTGAACCTTACCTATAGCACTGCTATCAATCTGCTAAAATAAATATTGTCATGCTGGCACACCAATACTTAATAAGAATACTTTACAAACCATTATAATCAAAGAGAAACTAGACAAACAAGTGCTAATCTCAAGATCATTTTAAAAATATTTTTATTTTGCAGTTTGAATGTTAAAAAATAATAAGTCTAGGGACTCAAATTGCTTTTTTTGTATCTCAAACATGTCTCTGACATATGGAAATTTGACATGCAATTGATATGTATCATTTAATTTACTTTTTTGGTATTTTATGAAGAACCAACAGATTTTGTCATTGAAATTAAAGTACCAGCTAATACTTGTGATCAGTGACTTGAAACAGGGACCAAAATTCCAAGGTAATTTTTTTCTGCTTCCATTTTTTCCAAATACTTTGTAAGAATTTAAGGAAAAAAACCCAACCTTGAAATTCCAATGGAAATCTAAAAAGTATTTTACTCATCAGTAATAGAAGACTGCTTTCCTGAAAAAATATCTTAGTTTGACTGTACCTCAATATAAGGGTGAAATTTTGCCCCATAAAAGAGTAATAAAACTCCTATAGACTTCAGCGGGGCCAGGATTTCACCAAAGAGTAGAAAGAAAAGGCGTACTAGTGGCACCTTAGGTTAATCTCTAAGGTGCCACTAGTACTCCTTTTCTTTTTGCGAATACAGACTAACAAGGCTCCTACTCTGAAACCAAAGAGTAGTCTACTCTTTATTTATGGCTTATATGAGTAAAGTATAGTCACCAGACCAATGGACACCTTTGATTAAGGAATCAATTAATTCCTTATTTTATTTTTCAAGACCCTGAAGTCTTAATTTATCTAGATATTTCAAACACATCTATTGACATAATATGTTTTTATGTTACATGTATAAGTTCAATGAAGTCTTAGTAAAGGGAAAAAAGGCATGGATGCACTCCAGGCCCTACCTATTTCCTTTCAGGGTTCCAATTCTTGTCTAAGCTTCATAGTGAAATAGTTAGATACTAAATGAGAACAAGATTTAGCCAACTTGTCATTACTTGGGGATCTGATCTTTAATCAACTGTTGTCTTGATGGAAAAAAAGGGCCCACACTGTAGACTTGAAACCACTCCCCATAACTGACCTAATATTCATGGCAAATGATGACTCCTTTCAACAAGCCCAAATTTATGAGTCGCAATGCATTTATTGCGATCAGTCAAGCAATACATTGGATTAGCAATTCCAAATTTAATACTAAGGTTTGTAAATATCTGTTCACTCCACAATAAAAAACGTGTATAAAATACTGCACTATAACGAGATCTGACTTTCACTGGATGTGAAATAAATTGAATGCTGCATGTTGGAAATTTTTAAGATCTGCTAATCCACATGCATGTTTGCTAACAGGCTTGTGCCAGTGGGATTGGTGGATTTATACGTCAGCAATTTGCCGCAAATATCAGTGAGACTGGTATGGGCTATCTATGAGACTGAGAGTATCTCACATTCATTTGATCTATTTTCTTTTAAGGGGAAACAGGCTAAATGCTGACCATTCAATTTGATTTGTGTTCAGGCTACCTATATCTTTTTATATGTATTTATGTGGTAAAAATATATGTATCCTTACTACAACATTACAGTTTTATTCAGTTGCTGGAGAAACCTTTTGTATAATCATTTGATATCAATATATTCCTATCTGCACCTGTGAGTTTTGACTAAAACTTAATTGGTCACAATTTTGTGAGAGAAAATCTCATCCCCTGAAGTGCAAGATAAGAATGCGCCTTCTCCCTAAATATACATACAGGATTAGGAAAGAAGTGATAGTTATGTAGACTAGATCACTTCTGCAGGGAAAATCTTGCTTTTGGGTACAGTTTAAAGGCATTCTTCTAGGATAATGGAAAAAGCATTTGGTAGGTGTAGACGGGGCTGCATTCTTCTCAGTATGCAGTGGTAAAAACTGAAGTGCTGTGGGAACATCATGGTCTGTTGATGAGATTGACTGAGGAATCTATTTTGTCAGTTACCATTTTATATCTCTATGGTAAAAAGAAAAAGCCCATATATCCTAACAGAATTATGAACTAAGAATAATCAATTTTAGTGAGAAAAACTTACTGAATAAAGCCAAGACTTTGGTTGCTGATGGAATCCACCAGGTACATTTTATCATGGGTGGGAATTCTTCAGGTTTTGCAGGGAACAGACGTAAAGAAATAAATTGCAGCAACCTGTCTACTAACTGCTTAAACCTTCTCTGCGAAATCCTAGAAGAAACACACTGAAGTTACTCTTATGCTAGTACTGCCCCCACTGAAGCCCACTATAATAAATTACCACATAATGGACAAAATTCCCAATATAAAGTTTACTGACAACTGCATACTTCTAAACATTGACATGTGGCAATATTTTTCTTTAAAGGATATAGCAATTCTACTGAATGCATCAGGCGTACTCTAGATATGCTTTAGTCTCTACATCTTTTTCAGATTACTGTATCACAAGTTACATCTTTCCTTTGGCTCTTTATTAAAGTGGTAAATAGAAAGATAGAAATTATCTGTTCTCTGTAAAGTTTGTCTTTTAATCCTGACAGCTTTTTGGAATTTTCTATTTAGAGATATTTTGCTTCATTGAACAGAGACACTGAAAAGAACGTTATGCACTCTTGAGTATAGATTAAGTATTCTACAAACACTTTTTATGTTGTACAATACATAGCTTCCATGTATATAGTAAGAGAAGTGCAAAATCTTGGTATGATGGGATAACATGGTTTTGGTAATTAAATATTCATGGTAAATAGGCCCAATGGCCTGTGATGGGTTATTAGATGGGGTAAGATCTGAGTTACCCAGGAAAGAATTTTCTGTAGTATCTGGCTGATGAATCTTGCCCATATGCTCAGGGTTTAGCTGATCGCCATATTTAGGGTCGGGAAGGAATTTTCCTCCAGGGCAGATTGGAAGGCCCTGGAGGTTTTTTGCCTTCCTCTGTAGCATGGGGCACGGGTCACTTGCTGGAGGATTCTCTGCTCCTTGAAGTCTTTAAACTACGATTTGAGGACTTCAATAGCACAGATATAGGTGTGAGGTTTTTTTTTGTAGGAGTGGTGGGTGAAATTCTGTGGCCTGCGTTGTGCAGGAGGTCAGACTAGATGATCATAATGGTCCCTTCTGACCTAAATATCTATGAATCTTTTTAAAAGATAAAAAGTTCAAATTTTTAGTATTGTTTGGCTTTTCTATCCTGGCTGTAACTGTGAAAAACGTCAATCTTCATGTTACCTTCTTAACCAAGAGAACAATCACCATTTTCAAACAGTGAGCCAAACCAAATTATAGCTATTAGAGTTTTTTGGTAAACTAGGACACATTTCCGCTTGAGAGGGAAATTTTTACCTCCTCATGGAAAAGCTGCCCCCAAACCTAGCAGATAACCTGCAAGGCCAGGCTCATTCAGACAGAAACCCTGTATCCAGATGAGGCTACAGCCCCTAGTGGTCCCTACTAACACAGCTCCAACAGGGCTACGCTTCCACCAATGGGATCTGTGCAAAAGTTAACATAGCCTTGTAACTTCCATGAGTATAGGAGAACTATGTATGTACCTCACAATCTGCTCCTTCCATATATGTTTAAAAAATAAAACTTTTCAGTTAATATAATTAATATAGTATAATTGTCAGAATACAAAAATGAAAGTACACTAAAAATTGTGATCCTATATGATGGAAAGTATTTTTTTTTTACTTTTTAAACCAGTGAGCTAGGAAATGATGGTCAGCTTCTGCCAAGGTTGCTATCTGTCTTAGCAAGTGAGCATAGATGACATAAGTAGATGTGTTACTAAACTGAGGATTCTGCAAAAGATATTAAAAACATGTTGTTAGTACCAAAATTGTATAAAGAAAAAAGCCATTACACTTTTCCAAACAATACAATCATGGATGAAAATATCATTCTGAAAATTGCTGTGATAGAGTCAACATTATAAAATAATAGATATTTTTTATTTACAACTTCTGTTCAAAGTCAAAAGATATGTACAACTTCAATATAGCAACAGAAAACATTTAAAATGCTCTTACATTTTAAACAGAAAGCAGAGGTTTATTTAATGAAGACTTCGCTATAAGTGAACATCAATTAAAACATGTTGGATAAGCTTATGGAAGTTTTAATATTCTTACGGCTGTGGCTAGCATTGACCTTATAGCTCAATATTATATACAACTATATTTCTCCACATAGATTCTAATGATTGACATCTTCCAGGATTAGAGCATTAGTCTTAATTTCTATCATCACCCCTGCACTGGACTGATCACATTTCCACTATCACAGCAGGTTATATTTCACACAATTCACAGTTGCTTCCCCTCCCTGGTGTACTGAAAAACTTTTCTCCTACATGAATTAGATTCCCAGCTGATTTTATCCCCAAATACTGGTGAACTGCTCTCTTGTGCACAAAACACATCCACAAGCCTCATCTACGTTAGTAAAATTTGGACATATAATTCATCACCGGTGCAACTCCACTAGTAGCAGCAACAGTCAAATGCTAGTATAAATAGGACTCAGGCATTCTTACCTCTGTATCTGATGTATTTATCGATACTATTTGTATGTTTCGTGCAACATTACAGCCTTATTTAATTGTTGAAACAAAACTGCTCAAAATATGCAGAATGTAGCCTGTTGGGAAAGTGGGCACAAGGGCAGATCAATGCAGGAGAGCAGGGGATGGGTAGAAAATAAAATAACCCACTTTGCTCTCTCATCCTGCAAGATGGCAGTTTCCAAGCAGTAAATTTGTATTGTTTTTGCATGTTAATTGGAAAGAAAGCCTCTATGTTTCATATCAATTTAAAATTTTAAAAGAAAAAACCCACAGCAGTAGACTTTTCTGTAAGGTAGCTGTAAATATTTCAGAACATAGTTTCCATACACAAGGAAGTTAAATATAAATCCATTTAATGTATTTTTTTATATACATGTATAAATAACTTATATTTTTTAATTTACAGTACACTTTAGTTACACTTTGATTGCATACAGGATTGTACATCATGCATTAAACAGATTATGTGTTTTACTAAAAAGCTTTTATTTTTCTTACCTGTAGAAGTATACAGTATGCTCTAAGATCATCTTTTGTTCGTGGCCTAAGAACAAACAGATTTATACCAAAATCATATGTAAGTATAAAAAAATTAACAGTCAATGAAAACATGTATCTAACTTCTCAGTTTTGCTTCTCCAAAGATACCATATCTGTTGATCTTCTACAATCTATACATACTCTGGGTCTCTTTCACTGATCGGTTAGAAGAAGCAAAAGTAGTCTATCATTGTAAACCAGAGGCTGAGGAACCCACCATCCACCTACTTTCTGCCATAAAGAGTTCTTCCAAAGTTATTATAAGCAAGAAGCATGTTACTGTAAATAACTATGTACACAGGGAAAATGTCTTCTAAAAGGATCTCAATATGATCCTGAAGAACCCTTTGAAGATACACCAAGTTGATTGACCCTATGTATTCCTGAAACAATATAAAGAAGGATCAGCAGACATGCCCACGTAAGAGAAATTGACAAGAAAGAACATGTCTTTTATTAGAGAGACTTGTCCATTGATCCTCTGCATAGAAAGCATAGCCAGAAGTGAAAAGTAGACAGGCAGGGAAGAACAAGGTTAGGCCAGAAACACTGGAAAGCATAGAAAAAAATTGCTGAAGCACCACTTCACTGAATACCTTCCTATGAAACACTGTACGACGAGATACCCAGAACTCCTTTTGGAAGCAAATGGTTGCTTTATACATTTCCTTGATTGATGTTTAAGATTTCTCTGCCCATGAAAATGAAGCTGATTCAGAGGAGCGTGTCCACAGTCCCTCCAAGGAGAGACCTTTGGCCTGCAATGTTTTACTTACAAAGCATTTGATTCAAGAAGAGACTTTGTCCTGTTTGGATTTTCTGACTCCTATGTTGAAGACTAATAGAAAAGAGAAAAACTTGACCATCAATACTGCTCTGTTCTCTTAAGATAAATCTTGAGAACAAACCAAAAATCTGAGATATATCAGTTTTCTTTTTGGGGCCATTTTAGATTAGGGTAAAATAACAGGATATTAAGACATGAGATACACTTCTAAGTCTGAAATCCTGGGGGTTACTTTGTTCCCTATGGAATATGCTGTAATGAGTCTCAACTAATATGACTTTTGATAATGATACACTCTGAGGAAGTGTTAGCCATGAGGTAAATCCCACAAGGTAAGTCCATGTAAGAGTCTGGAAGTAGAAGTCTCTGATGAATCCCTCTCATGAGAGCAGAAAGCAGGAATCATTCTTAAATGTCCTTGGTATTACAAGTATAATCAAACTGCCCACTTGTTTCTGATATAGGAAATGTTGCAGAAATCCTGGTGTGCTTTTTGTAATCATTGGCTTTCATAGTTTAGAAAAAGTGAATTCATTCTTGTAGCATCTATTGGAGATGTGTGAAGAGTCAGCCTACAATTTCTGAATGGTCTATATTTCTTGGGTCAATTGTCCTCAAGGGATTTTAATCATGACCTTTTTGAGAGCTTCACCAAATGGTCCTCCTCCATGGAAAGGTGTTAAAGGGTTACCAGTTGCTTTGGTGGTTAGCTTTCCATAAACACAGCTATGTTTGTTTCCTGACAATTATGGTTGGGATCAGTGATCCTGTGGAGAATCAAACTGAGCGAATGGTGGCATCTACTATGAAAGAAGAGATGAGAAGTCTTCAAGATGGCCTGCATTATTTTGTGTTTGAAGGCCGTAGCTTTTCAAGGATGGAATTTTCAAAAGCTCTCAGCATTGGCTTACTTCTGCTTCCATTTAGGTCAATGATAAAACTCCCACTGGATTTAATGGGACAAGAGGAGGTCAATGCTGAGCACTTTTGAAAAACCCACCCCAAGTTTCCTGAACTATAATACAGATGCTCCAGCAAAGTAGATGACAGAGACAGAGGGCTGGAAAAATAATACTAAGGCCTGAATTTCCTTGGAATGGTTCTTTGACCTTCCTGTCCAACATAGTGCTTACGAAAGAAATCTTTCTCAATGAAGAAGATTGTTTCCTTTATCATGCCTGTCAAAACACCATCACTCTTGGGCACTGTAGACAGTTCCTTTCTTTGCAGCTTATTCAAAAGTTATTGATCTGCTAGTTTAGGCAATTGCTTTTTCATGGCTGCTCCCATTCTGAGTTTACTGTTCCTTAAGCAATCATTTCAAAGGAAAGTCCATGTGGTAGCAGGAAAATATATGACCACCTAGGCTTTAACTGATTCTTTCTTGCCTTCTTTTGGTGAGGACTCAAGAGCCAAAATAATCCTTTTAGTCATACTTTTAGTCATACTACTGCAGTATTCTATGGGGTAAAAAGTCTTTCTTGGGAGCTTAGTTAAGATTTTAAAGAATAGATTCAGACAGTTGTTCTTTGAGGAAAGAGAGTGAAAGGAAGTGGTTGAGTTGGAGGAGGAATCAAGTAGCACTTCCAAAGCTCCTAAATTTTTCTTGTATTTCTTTAATCTTGGATCTTAAGATCCAATCATGGATCTTATGTCCACGACAGAAAGAGTCTACAGATTCAGAAGGAGAGAGGGGGAGGAATAAGCTCTTTTAGTGCTCATTGCATATACGATCCATTGCTCTCCATTAAATAATTGAATGAGAGACACCTTTGGGAAGACCCTTACCAAATTCTGGCTACTTTCTGAGTGAGGGGGACCTTGTGCAACAGGAACAATGTCAGCCAGCTAGCTATCTTAGCATCTTTTCTCTTTTCTATATTTGTACAGCACCCAACACAAAGGACCCAAATACTAGTTAATATAAATATTTACTAAAAATCATCCCCACATCTTAGAGGTGGGGGGAATCTTATGGAATGGGAGACGCATGGGGAGCTGGGAATAGTGTAGGAAAAGAAGGAGTTACCCCTCTTTTTTCTATCTTAGAGGAGCATGGATGCTCTCATCGCCCTTCATGGTAGAGGATTTACCTACCTGCCTTTTTGAGCTTTGTGACAGGTGTATCAGTGTGGTTTTGCTACTTCTTGCTGTTCATTTACTTTCTTGCTGCTGTTACTGTCACTGCTGAGACTTGCCTCCCTCACTGAATTTTTTGTGTGCCTCTTCAGGCTCTTCTGTTTTAAGCTATTACTGTTTGCTGAGCCACTTTGGTGGGAATTGGGAAGTAGCTTATCCATCACATTCCCCTCTATCCAGCAGAGATCTATCAACCAAAAGAAGCAGTAATGACCAAGAGTGGAGTAGGGAAAAGAATTCTGTGTCTGGAACACCATTGTTAACCATTGTAAGCCACTTGCTTAAGTATTACCCTGGCAATCGAAGAGCAATTTGCATTGTGGAGAGGCAGCAGAGAGAAGAGATTCTGAAAGCAAAAAGCTGAAAAGAAAAAGAGGGTTTCCAGCTGGAAAATAAAGGTTTTTTGGAAAAGCACGACGGAGCTCCAGAGCCGCGTACCCATTTCCTAAGAAATTTCTAGCAAGAAGTTGGGGAGCGGTCCTCTTGAACCAGTGCCCACCATGACTGAGGATATATCTACATTGTAAAAAACAAAGAAAGGAAAAGAAAAAAAACCCTGTGTGTTAACTTGGGTTTGCTAACCCATGCTGGCTAACTTGGGTTAAATCAGCAGTGAAGACATGGTTAACCAGGTTTTTAACTTGAGTTAGCAGCTTGAGTTCAAGCCTTAGAAGGAAGCCTGGGGTTGAACATGAACTGCTATGCCGAGTTTGCCATGTCTTTACAACCTGAGTTAGCTAATGCAGAAGTTGGTCCAATCAAAGATAGTATATCACCCTCCTTGTCTCTCCTACCCAATTTAAGTTTTTTTACAGTGTAGGAATACCGTGAGAGCTCCAGCTATTTCTGATCAGTCACTCAGAGGGGATTTGACTAAGATTTAGATGATCAGCAGATGTGTCTCTTCAAAGGAGAAACTTATAAAGCAAATAAGATGTAACTCAAATAATTTTTCATTCTTGGTCTAAAAACACGATAGATCCTTGTCATGTATTAAAGAAAGATAATATACTAGTACAATAAACCCAGATTTTTCACTAATGTAAATGTGTGCAAATGCTGGTTATAATTACCCTTTCCACTCCTGTAACAGACCATTAATTATTCCTTTTAGGACAGACTTCTGAATATCTTGAGGCTAGGAAGAATGGAAAGAAAAAAAAACAAACAGCATTAGGTTAAAGAGTACACTTCTTTTTTACATTTCATCTAATACAATTGTTGAAGCATGACAGTAGGATAATATTCTTATTTAAAGGATTAGGAATAGTTTTTACTCCACAATAAAACACAACTATTTATTTTGTCTACTTCACAGAAAATATATAACTAAAACAACCCAAACTAATGACAATACAATTAACATTAAGGGGAAATTTATATCCATACTATTCTGCTACCTTCATTGAGAGAAATGCCCAGGTTAGTTCCAACTGGGACTACTCAGGTGCATAAAATTATCCACATGTAAATGTTTATTGCATTTTGCCCTCTGTTCACAATAAAGTAACATTAATAGATCAGTAGAAGAATTAGGGCTTTTACTGTTGAACAAAGAAACCAGGAGAAAATGTAAACTTTTGGTGCCTCTAAAAATTTGACTTTACTACAGTACTGTATTTGTGGTTATCCCTATACTTAAAATGAGGAATATCGCACATACGGACCTACACTGATCTACATTGAGCAGTGAAGTTTAAGATTCTAATTCCACCCACTCTATGAGAGAAACTGATTTTAAAGTGATCTGTGAGAAACCTTCAATGAAAATTGCATATGTAACATTATTTTACTTACAACTTTCAGATGAATATTTAGTTCAGCTAGTTGAATTTTGAATACTAGGTCTACAGGTAAATTAGATTTGGCAAGATTTATTAAATTGGTTATTAAAATTCTCTCATTTTAGGACATGACAACTAAATATGTATGCAGAACTAATAATATTCAATTTCTTAATGAGTTACTGAATATGTAATAAATGCTACCTTAACTTTCCCCCATTTCCAGTCTTCAGGGTTCCATTTTACTAATTTAGAATTAAAATACTAATTTTCTTATAATGGTAATAGAAAGAATGACCTTATGCTGACTTTAGTACTAGGTTAATTGTATAAGAAAGCTGACCTAATTTTTTCCTCCATGCAAATTACCTTCTCTACAAAAGTTAAATGCCCAAGGTCTGCTGAATACTTCTTGATGATTCTAGCTCTAATCAACAGAAGCTCTTGTTTAATAGCTTGATTACATTTGTAAAAATTAGGAAGGGCAAATCCCATCAATCTAGTCAGTCTAGAAAAAGTTCAATACATAGTTTTTTTCTTTTCATATATAAACTTAAATCTTTTAGTTTGCAGATCTTTCAAAGCTGTGCTTGGTAATACTACTAGCAGAATTTGAAACAGAAAAACAAATCAGGGGAGCAAGTGTGTTTTCACCACAGCTACACTTCCCAATCAAAACGTTATCAGTTTATTACATTTTCCCCAAATCTTTATTTAGATGTGACACCATAGGAGGATTATTAAAGTAATACAAATTATCAAGGCTGGATGCATAGAAAAGAAACAAAATCAGAGACCACCCTCGACAAATCACAGCTAGCTAGGCTCTCTGTCTGGTTATATAAAATATCGTTTAAGTTACCAGAATACCTTATCTTATATTAAGCCCTATTAAATAGGCACAAAACTTTTCCACTGGATGCAAACATGGAAAAAAATATGTTTAATAAAAAGCTACATCATCTAAAAAGTATATCATCCAAACTTAGAGAGACAGATTTAGACTGGGAGTCCGGTGAAAGTGATGAGACAAAGATTGCACCATTGTTTTGAATCAATACATTGGGAAACAATATGTTTTTCTATTGCACAACTAATTTTAACTTTTGGTATCACTAGTGTCTCTTACATATTATATATTATCTTATGGTTTCTTTTTCTATTATCTTATTTTCCTGACTACTTGTTAGTATGTAAGAAAAGGTTCTCTCTTTCTACTGTCCAAGTCCCCAATCCTGCAATCTGATTATGAGGTCAGAGCCCTATGCTGTGCCAGGGCTAGGGTCCTTCTAACTTCACTAGAACACTGCACATGTGGACCTTTATACACAATGTACAGCCTGCTTGAAATCAGTGGTGTCCTGCACAATTACAGGAATCTACCTGCAAAAGCCATTTTCACGATCTGAGCCTAAGTAAGAACCTCAGATGTTGTGAGGGAAAAGCCCTCATTACCATTTTTTCTTTCATGCCTCTCAAAAGAGAACAGTTTGGTACCATGCAAACAGATAGCTTAGAAGCAAACTAATGGTTACACAATATCCTTTACTGAACAGTAATATTAAGTTCACTATACCAGATACAAATATTTTTGTTGAGCAAAACACCAAAGGTCACACAAAATCAAATAAAGAATAAAAAATTGACTATATTAATAAGTGGTCAAGAATAGCCTATACTGTACACTTAATTATTAAAGAAAAAATAACTTTCAAATTATTTGGAACCCATCATTTGCACATTTAACTTGCCCATGCATATTCATATGATTGTCACCCTCATTCCATCTTCCCCATTGCTTCCTACACTCATTTCTGTATCTTTTTTCAATCCAGATAAAAAGCTTTTGGGGCAAGGAACCATGCCTTGCTATGATTGTGCAGCATATAGCATGATGGGATCCTGGTCCTTATTGAGGCCTCTAGACTCTGCCAAAATATAAACAATATTATTAACTAAAAGTTGTTCTATCCGTAGAGTGCAGTTTTCAGGATTTTATGGTGATTTCATGTAAGCTTGCACAGTTTTTTCAATTTCAGCAGATTCCTCAGTTCATAATTGTGAATCTTTTAAAACATTTTAAAAACATCTTTTTTACTTACAGTATTTAGTAAGGCATCATAGACAGCATTCACAAATTTAGCATTGATTCCAGAGTCTTCAATGGTACTGAAAGGGAGACTGACATCTTTCTGCAAATTCAAATCATAAGCATTTTTTACTCAAGTTATTTCAAATGTCATTTTAAAATTCCCTTAAAAATAAAAGTTTTGGTGTGCTAACATCTGTATCAAGTTTAGAAAAAAGTATGTACAGAGAAAACAAATAAATTGAAAAGGAGTACTTGTGGCACCTTAGAGACTAACCAATTTATTTGAGCATGAGCTTTCGTGACCTACAGCTCACTTCATCGGATGCATACCGTGGAAACTGCAGCAGACTTTATATACACACAGAGAATATGAAACAATACCTCCTCCCACCCCACTGTCCTGCTGGTAATAGCTTATCTAAAGTGATCATCAAGTTGGGCCATTTCCAGCACAAATCCAGGTTTTCTCACCCACAAAAGGTGGAGGGTGAGAAAACCTGGATTTGTGCTGGAAATGGCCCAACTTGATGATCACTTTAGATAAGCTATTACCAGCAGGACAGTGGGGTGGGAGGAGGTATTGTTTCATATTCTCTGTGTGTATATAAAGTCTGCTGCAGTTTCCACGGTATGCATCCGATGAAGTGAGCTGTAGGTCACGAAAGCTCATGCTCAAATAAATTGGTTAGTCTCTAAGGTGCCACAAGTACTCCTTTTCTTTTTGCGAATACAGACTAACACGGCTGTTACTCTGAAACAAATAAATTGATAATTTTTTGTAACAACAAAAAAGAAACCAGGTCAGATATGATATTGTATCTTTTCAAATTCTAATGCAAGAATACATTATGTTAGCAAAGTTCACCTGGCTCCAATTTATCAAAAGTCTAAAATAATGGGACTACATTAGATGTGTCAGCTGATGGGTGATTTAGTCTACCATTTCTAGTCACTGGTTCAAATTCAAATTCAGCAACAGTCAAGAGCAACAAAATTACTACCACGCAATATCTGTTAGATAACCTGTGTGACACGAATTAATACCCTCAATTCAGATCCCACTGTTTACATGAAATAGCACTGCCACAGGCAGATTCTGAAAAAAATAAGAAGAATTTACTGGTCATGGAGACTGAAGTACCCACCCATAGATGTGATCCTTTCAGAACTGGACTGAGGCACATTAAGAAAGCAATGCAAGGAAGAAAGCGTTGCCACAAACCATACTGTATTTGATTAGGGAATTGAGGGCTTCAGTCTCCAGGGCTGTCAGATAACTATTTTACCAGCAATGGAATCTAGATCAACAATAGTCTAAAAAGATAGTAAAGCAACTCCATAGTCATAAAGTATTACAAATTTTAACAAAATAATATGTATATAGTTTCATTTACTATAATGCAAAGTTAATCTTTCAGAAATGGGTTGTACAGAGACAGCTTTTATAAAGTCCTTGCATTTTCTTTAATTCTCAGGACACCAATTTTTGAATTTCTTTTGTTTTAAATCCTACAAATGTCCTTGAAACATTGCTTTACTAATACATGAATAATGGACAAATGGTTTACTAAAAACAAATAATAAATGGAACTAGTAAATGAAACAATGAAATACTATAACTACAAAGTGTATGGGTAAGGTAAACAAGATAATACTATGAGTCTAGTCTGTTTAAGAAAACAAAGGTAAAAATAAATTTTATGTGATGGATTTATAGCATCCTGAAGATAGAAAGAGCTAAGCAGCATTCTGAATTGTTTTCTACCTTAAATGCAGCATTTAACTCCAGGAAAGAATCAAATGTTGTTAAATAAAAATCATGTACAGCTTTCCAATCTCCTGATGACTTAGCTTTTTCCATATCCTCCCTAGAAAGAAAATTTACAAATAAATATATATCACACAAGTTTATGTACAAATATTAAGCACTTTATGAAATAGACTTTGTACTTCATACTTCACTATTACTCCAGTGTCTTTCATCTCTAAACAGATTTATGAGAAGGGTGAATTTAAGAATGGACGTGTGCAAGTTAATTTCTACTTTAATATTTTACCTGAAAATCTAGAAATACTGACGCTCCAAAAGAATGGAGGCATTTGAAATTGGTTGTGCAAAATATATTTCAGCACTACCTGATCATAATATTTATTAATTCAGTGGATTATATTTCAGTATTTTAAAACAAATTAGTAATAGAATAATGTATTATCAATTCTTATGCAATGTGTAGAAATAATTTAAAATAGTAAGTAACCTCGTAAAACTGTTAATTTAACATTACAGGTACTGATCTTTGCTTCTATTACAAGCTTTAAAATTCCTAAATTTTACATAACATATGTAAGATCACATTCATTGTTGCAACCATAAAATTCAAAGATTCACACCTAGCTAAAAGCTGGGAGTTGGATATGTTATGTGAACATTTTAAACAGCCATAAAGAACTAATGTCTGAAATAATGGAAAACTCTAAATACCTTGAAAATAAAAGTAAAAACATTCATGCAAAGCCAATCGACAACTTATTTCCATATTAGTAGGGCTGGTGTTCTCCAGCAATGAAAACAGTAATTTCAGATTTTCAAAGCTATATATTTCAGACATTTTTGATATGCTTTATATTAATAAAAATATACTTATTGACAAACATGAGCAATATGCAATACTTTACAATAATGGTGCTCAAACTTTTCCAGTTGCACCCCGCACCTTACCAGTAATGGAATCTGTCTGCGCCCACCCCGCATTACTGCATAGCCAAGGCTTCCTCAGCAGCAGAGCTTGGGCAGAAGGCACAGCTGGGGTAGAACTGGGGATGGGGGAGGAGCTGGGGCTGGAGGTGGAGCTGGTCTGCGGGCGGAGAAGGAATGAGGGCAGAGCAGGACTGGATGAGGACAAAAAGGTGTTGGAGGTGGAGCTGGGCTGGGTGCGGAGTGGGGCTGGAAGCGTGGCGCTCCCTCCCTGCCCCCACCACGCACCCCCTGAACAGTCCTCTGAACCCCCTTATGGGGGCGCACACTACACTTTGAGAACGACTGCTTTACAAAAATGCCAGGCACTGAGGGCCAGAGCCAGGAAAGCTACGTGCTGGGTGGCAGAGGGAAGGAGCCAGCTGTGTGCAGGGGAGATGAGTGGGGGACAGGTGCTGTGGACATCACCCTGCATGCCCTGCTCACCCTCTGAATGGCAATTCCAAAAATTAAGGGCAATTCCGGAAATGAAAAGTCATTTTGGAAAAAAAAAAAAAAGCAGTAATTGCACCAATTTCCAGAAAACATTGGCCCTATATGTTAGTGATACAAATCACAATTAATTTTTTCCTCTACAACATAAAACATTTTTATATATTCACTCATATGAAATAAACTTGTTTATTTTGATGAAACACACTGTAAATGTGAAAACAGATGTAATATATTCAAAGTGCTTAAAGGATTTAGGAGCATGTTTTGCTGAAAGTCAATGGGGCTTAGATTCCTAAGTCACAGACACTTTTGAAAATTTTAGTCAAAATTTATAAAATGTGTGGTAGATAGGCTTGTCACGTTTCAGTTTTTTGACCACTTGAGTTCTGGCCAAATATTCTCTTTTACCAATTCCTTTGTGATACCTGACTCATTCTGCACTAAGTAAAGAAACACTTAACAAATCAGAACTTTTGAACTCCTACTGAATGTGAGAAATCTCAAAACACACACAAAAAGCAACCAACTTATTAAAAGAAGATAAACTCATATGTCAGTAAGAGCAACTGTGAACTTTTCCTTGATAAATGAGATCAGTTAGGTTTGTGTTCTGACAGACAGAGTAAATATGAAAGTGGAACAAAGCCAAATTGATTTGGCACAGTGATGATATTGTCCTTTTGCTAAATTGTAAGAGGGCAGCAGTATAAAGCTCACCTGTAAGGACTCTGATCTAAGTCCACAGAAATAAAAGGCCTGTTAAGTGTAATGCTTCTCACATAAGGGAACTAGAACGAAGGGGATTTCCCCCAGTATGGTTTCAAGCTTACTTACGCTATTTAAAATAGCACTATCATCAACAGAAAGGAGGAAGAAAAAAAATAAAAAGGAACTACAAAAAGAGTGAACTGCCGACAACAGTGTCCTTTCACATAATATGAAAAAAATATTTCTACATTTTAAACATCTAAGTGAGAGGTGGCACAGCTCATATTATTAACTATTGTCAAAGGACCAAAAACGTAGGAAGTTACAAATTAAAGGCCTGGTACACAATGTCTTCAGTCAGAATTGAGGATGCCCAGCTCCTGATTGGATCGGACCCCAAATGAGTGGATGATAAACAGCAAAGCTTCAGAGATGTGGTTTAAATATCGAAAGAGCTTTTGTATCATGAGAATACCCCAGTATGTCTTTTCTCTAATTGAAACTAAATATCCACTAAATATCAGTAGTTCTTTCACTCCCCCACCCTCCAAGAAAACAGTAATGGTAGAAAAAATGCATGTGGTACTGAGCTGCTGATGGTGCTATCTTTTAGGTGATGCATAAAACCCAAGCTGAGCAAGGAATCATGACAATTTCCACAGTCACAGAAGTATTAATTCCAACATCCTAGCCAAAATAACTTACAAAATTACATTCTATCTAGCATTCTGTTGTCTTGTACTGATCCCATCACGAGAGGTCAGCCAGAAAATCAATATATTACATACATACATACTTAAATGAAATGGAAAGTCAGTCAATAAAAAACAAAACAGAGTTGTATTGGTTTTAACTGTATACTTACTGGAAGTCTTTCATAGTTTTGGTTCGGATGGGAAGGGAAGATTCTGGAGGGACTGGAGCTTTCGGTTCCGGTGGTAGTGTATCTATAGAGATGCGCTGCTTTTGCCTAACATCAAGGCAAATTGGTGGTAGATCTCTCACTTATTGAAAAATTTTAAAGAAGTGTTAAATGTATTGTAATCATATACATAATTTACAAAGAAAGATTGATTTATTTAGCTTGCAAAACACAAAGGCATATGAACTATACAAAAGGACTAAAGTTTAAATTGTAATCTGTAAAGAGAACCTAAACATTGTTTTTGTAAACTAGGAACTCGTACATACGTGAAACTGACAGAAAATGCCTTTTCAACCAATATAAAAATTAGCTTAATTTTTTTCCATATTGCTCAAAATTCCATTTTTGACAAATATCAAAATTTAAAATTTCACTGTGGAAAAAACACATTCTCACTATTTTACTTTCCTCCTTCTCCCTTTTTGCAGTGAAAATAAGTAAAAGGAACGAGAGAAAATGGTATTTTCCCTCCCAAGCCTTTAAAAAAAAATTCATTTAAAAACATTTCAAATTAAGCCAAAAATTTTCATTTCTTTTGAATGTTTTAGTGAAGCTTACTTACTGCCTGACCAGCTTCAATATTTATATTATATTAGGGCTGTCAAGCGATTAAAAAAATTAATTGCACGATTAATCGCACTATTAATAATAGAATACCATTTATTTAAATATTTTGGATGTTTTCTACATTTTCAAATATATTGATTTTAATTACAACACAGAATACAAAGTGTACAGTGCTCACTTTATATTTATTTTTGATTACAAATATCTGCACTGTAAAAAACAAAATAAATAATATTTTTCAATTCACCTAATACAAGTACTGTAGTGAAATCTCTTTATCATGAAAGTTGAACTTTCAAATGTAGAATTATGTACAAAAATAACTGCATTCAAAAATAAAACAGTGTAAAACTTTAGAGCCTACAAGTTTACTCATTCCTACTTCTTGTTGAGCCAATCGCTCAGGTTAACAAGTTTGTTTACATTTGCAGGAGATAATGCTGCCCGCTTCTTGTTTACAATGTCACCTGAAAGTAAGAATAGGCATTTGCATTGCACTGCTGTAGCTGGCGTTGCAAGATATTTACATGATAAATGCGCTAAAGATTCATATGTCCCTTCATACTTCAATCAACATTCCAGAGGTCATGCGTCCATGCTGATGACGGGTTCTGCTCGATAATGATCCAAAGCAGTGTGGCCTGAAGGTTGGTTTTCTTTTTTGGTGACTCAGGTTCTGCAGTTTCTGCATCGGAGTGTTGCTCTTTTAAGACTTCTGAAAGCATGCTCCACACCTAGTCCCTTTCAGATTTTGGAAGGCACTTCAGATTGTTAAACCTAGGGTCGAGTGCTGTAGTTATCTTTAGAAATCTCACATTGGTACCTTCTTTGCATTTTGTCAAATCTGCAGTGAAAGTGTTTTTAAAACAACCAACATGTGCTGGGTCATCATCTGAGACTGCTAGAACATGAAATATATGGCAGAAAGTGGGTAAAACTGGAGACATATAATTCTCCCCAAAGGAGTTGAGTCACAAATTAAATTAACACATTTTTTTAATGAGTGTCATCAGTACAGAAGTATGTCCTCTGTAACAGTGGCCAAAGCATGCAGGGATATACAAATGTTTAGCATATCTGGCTTGTAAATACCTTGCAATGCCAACTACATATTGCCATGTGAACGCCTGTTCTCAGTTTCAGCAGCATTATCTCCCATAAAAGTAAACAAATTTGTTTGTCTGAGCAATTGGCTGAAAAAGAAGTAGGACCGAGTGGACTTGTAGCCTCTAAAGTTTTACATTATTTTGTTTTTGAGTGCAGATATTCAACAAAAAAATTGACATTTGTAAGTTGCACTTAGTACTTTTAAAATCATTTTTATAGTGCAAACATTTGTAATAAAAATAATAATATAAAGTGAGCACTGTACACTTTGTCTTCTGTGTTGAAATCAATATACAGTAAAAGCTCTTTTATCCAGCACTTCACCAATTGTAAAGCTCTATAAACTGGCATTTCTGATCTTCAGTGAAATTCCGGTTTATAGGCCAGTTGGTGTGGGTCCAGAGCAGGGACACGGGAGGGGGTGTGGAGTGTGTGCTCTGGGAGGGAATTTGCCTGTGGGAGGAGGCTCGGGGCAGCGGGTGTGGCGCAGGAGGGTATTCGGGGATCCGGAGGGCGCTCATACAGTCTGAGTGCAGTAGGGAACTCAAGACAGCAGGTTGGGACGCAGGAGTGGGTGCGGGCTGCCTCCGCCTGCAGGCACCGTCCCCATAGCCAGAGGGAGCTGCGGAGCTAATGCTTGGGGTAGGAAAGCGGCGACCTCTCCTGGCTGCTCTCAGGCAGAGGTGCGGCAGGCTGCCCCTGCCGTACCCCCAAGCATTAGCTCCGCAGCACCCATTGGCTGTGGGGACGGTGCCTGCAGGTGGAGGCAGCCCGCACCCACTCCCGCGCCCCAACCTGCTGTCTTGAGTTCCCTCCCGCACCCAAACTCCCTCCCTCTTAGTTAACTGGCATTTTTCAGTTACCGGCACCCCCCATTCCTCCAACATACTGAATAAAACAGCTCTCACTGTATCTGAAAATGTAGAAAACATCCAAAAAGTATTTATAATAAATTTCAATTGGTATTCTATTATTGTTTAACAGTGTGATTAAACTGTGATTAATTTTTGAGTTAATCGCGTGAGTTAAAACTGCGATTAATCGACAGCCCTATATTATATTTTTGCACAATTTTTTAGCATAAATCTGGGAACACAATATAGTAAAATTTCATTCTGTGGGCAAATTAGTGATAGAAAGGTGATGGAGGTATCATTTGATTCCTAAAAACCTACAGAATCACAGTTTCAATTGTGCCAACTTCTGTGACATGGTAAGGGGGCTTACTGCTCCCCTGGCACCCAGCTTCAGGTCCTCCGGTTGGTAGAAATTTTGATAATACAGTTGATAATACAGTGCTGTCAGAAACGCTTCCAGTTGGATATCATTCAAGAGCCCTTTCCCCCATCAACACAAAGGCACCAAACATGATAAACCTAGAACAATTATGTAAACATATATTTGAGAAAATGTTTAAAATCAACATTTTTAAAATTATACCTTAACAGAGGGATGCATTGCTTACATAAAAAAAGACATTGATCTTTTGTAATTCTAGTGAAGTTAGCCTTGACATGTAGGACTGAAAACATTTATTTATCAAAGTCACCATCAGTGTCATCTCCGTCTAGGGCACCATTGCTAGACATATTCTCACACTGATCCTTGTCTGAGCTGCACTTGCATATGTCTGTGCAAGGCAGGTTGCTGGCCAAACATTTGCAGGATGGTGAGCATCTGGTCTTTGCACACGAGCATTTGATTAGCTGAAGTACTGATCTGGGACCACATGGTAATTCACACATAACTGGTATGATCAGTTCATTCTCCAAGACCCAACCATGCCCAATAGGGGAGGGCAGTTTTGGATATGGTCGATCATCTTAGTGCCATTCCATTGCTTGATAATTTGCCCTCATGACACCAAGTATAAATAGTACCCCACATCAATGGCAATTTTTCTCAGTTTATCTGCTTCTTAGAAAACATCCATCAACGTAGTTCTGTAAGTGTCGTAATGTTAGTCTTCAAATGGTAAACTTGGTATATATTAATGCCTCCAGTTAATTTATGACATCATCAGTGACTGTCTCATGCATTCCGAGAACCTTCAGAGTGAGGAAAGAGGCTTTGGAAGCTGAATCTAATACCGTCCAGTAAGATAGTTTGATAATAAGATAACAGAAGGGAACTGGTGACCTTTTAGCAGCCCAATTTCCTTTTTGAAATTCCTCCCATGTCAGGGTCAAACTTTTCACACCTCTTATTTCAGCGAGGTAGCAGGCAATCATCCCAGAATAGCTGGTTAAATCTAAAGCAAAAATGAATTTTGCTATGTCTTCCAGTGTGAGATACAAATTCTAATTAGCAGATCGAATAAAGAGCAGCAAAGTCTCAAGCATCTTCATGCATTACTGCACTAGTCCAAAAGTTGTCTTTGTCACCAATTCAAACTCATTAAATTTCATGATCCATTCTGTGATATTGTAGCTCTCGATCATGGACAATAATGGTCACTGAATACGGAATGTACACTGGATGTGTGGAACTCGTCTTGCAAGTCCTGTACCCTTTGAGAAACAACTTAAAATACATCAGTATGCTTTTCAAAGATGACATCTAGTTAGCATTTTTGAAGGGCAACGAGTGTTTGGGTGTGTGATTCTACAGCATATCACAACTTTTTCCCTACAAAAATGTGGTTCACAATGCCAAGTGTTATGTTCAATCAGGTCCTCCGAGGTGATATTCTCCAAAGATTCAGCTACTAGCTGGTGTTCTTTGTCTCCCCATTGATGCCTAAAAATGATTGAGACCAAAGAAAAACAAGGATACTGTAATAAATTACTCTGGGATTGTAATTATGTTAAGTAATGTAAGTTATGTAACTATATGCATACCATTTGAAGATGGATTCCAGTTATTTCTAGATGGATGCTGACGTTTTAACCAGTGCCTCATTACAACTCCTTTGGCATAGTAAACAAAGTTCAATACCATTGAACTGCTTCTTTTTTGCTGAAGATGGGAAATCAATCTGAAGTACTTCTTCCATTTGTAGTAATCTGTAACATTAAAAAAATTAATCCAGGTATCATCTTCTGAACATTAACTGATAACATAGTACTTGTCAAGACTATGGGCGAAGGTAGGCAGGACTAGTGGCAGGAGCTTGAGATTCCGGAACTGAAGCCAGGGGTCAGAGCCAGTATCAGGGTCAAGAGTCAAACTGGAGTCAGAGTCAGGAGTTGAGCCAAGGGTCAGAGACAATCAGAAATCAGGCCAAAGGTCAATACCAGGTACTAGGGTCTCTGTTGCAGTTCCAGGGGTCAATCAGGAATCAGAATCCAAGTCAGAGCTGAGATAAATACGGAGAGTTCAGGAACAGAGAAGCAGGGTAGTCATGACACCTAGCTAAGGATCCACGTTGAACCTCTGTGGATTATGGGTCACAGGGAGTGGGCAGGTAACAGCTGCTGCTGGGTGGCAATGTGGGAATGGTGTAGCCCAAAGTTATTACCTCCACAACCCACTTGTCTGTTGCAACATACCATAAGACCTGCTGGAAATGGCAAAGGCAGTCTCCAAAAGTGGGGAAGTGGGCAAAGGGTTGCAGCTTACAAACTATAGGTGAGGGAGGAGTCAAACCCTTGACCAACTCATGAAAATTGCTGTTTCGATGATGACTGGGTACTCAGTGATGAAGGGTGAAATGCTCTTCTCCTTTGGAACCTTTGTCTTTTTCTAGCAGGTTTGGTGGTTTAGCGAAAACTGGAGAACTGAGCTGGGAGCAATCACTGGGCAGTTTAAGACCTGCTAAATCTTCTGTTGTTTCACCTTTGTGCAGCTTGTCTTCGTCCATCCTTCCACGAACACAAGTCGACGTCACACCATTCATTTTGTTGTGAGCACATTCGTTCCATTTCTGGCCCAAGACTTTTGTCATGGGATCAGCCCAGAGCGTTTTCGGTCTGCCCAAAGGTTGGTTGTAGTCTCTGAACATCCAGTCACTGATGAGGGTTGTCCACCTATTGTCTTGCCGGCAGACTACACGACCCGCCCATCTCCGCTTTGTGGGGGTGTATATACCCAGACACCTTAGCGTGGCCCTAGAGTCCTTCAGTATATGCAGGGACTTGTCTGTAGTTCCTGAGAAGAGTTTTTGACCATCAAACAGGAGGTTTTCACCAGTATTCTGAACCATTCTCAGAAACCCTGATGACTGGTGCCAAGATGTCCTGTGCATGACAATTGCTGTGGAGATAATCTGCAGCATCTAAGGACACTTGAAGAAAGGTTTTGGCTAATAAGTAAGGCTACGTTTTGGTCACAGCTATTTTAAATAAAAGTCATGGACAGGTCACAAGCAGTAAACAAAAATTCATGACCTGTGACCTGTACTATGTACCCTTGACTAAATCTTGGAGTGGCGGGGGGGGCGCTGCCACGGGTGCTCATGGGGGGGGCAGCCCAGAGGGTGCCATGGGTACTTGGGGGCAGTCTGGGGGGCACCACGGGTGTTCAGTGGGGAGCAGCCTATGACCCCTGCTGGTGCGGGGGAGGGGGGTGAAGGGGGTGAGCGGCAGCATGGAGCCTGGGACGCCCGCTGTGGCTGGGGGAGGGGGTTCCAGGGATGACAGGCTCCCTACCCGGCTCCTCGGAAGCGGCAACATGTCCCTCCCTCCGCTCCTAACTCCGTGCGCTGCCCCTGCCCCAAGCCCTGGCTCCGCAGCCTCCATTAGCTGGGAACCAAGACCAATGGGAGCTGTGGGAGCGGTGCCTGTGGGCAGAGGCAGCATGCAGAGCTAGGAGCTGAGGGAGGGACATGTCACCGTTTCTGGGGAGCCCGCAAGGTAAGTGCTGCCCAGAGCCCTCATCCCCTCCTGCATCCCAACCCCCAGCCTTGAGCCCCCTCTCACACCCAAACTCCTGTTGCTGCAGAGGGGTAGAGGACAGCGGCCCGAGACTGCCCAGCAGTGGCTGGTGCAGCTGTCCAGGGGCTGCCCAAGCTGCCTTACTAATAAGTGACCCTCCTTAACGATGACCTGAAATGCTCCTGTAGAAGATATTCAATAAAGGATGCAAACTTCTTGTAATTTGTGTAATCATACTTGTTCATGATCACCTAATAGCTTGCAATCTAAAACTGGAGGGTCATGGATAAATACGCCTTTAGACCTGCTGTTGATGCCGCTCGTTTACAGCATCTATCTGCAGTGAACTAAACTAGCGGTGAGAAAACAAAAATTCTGAGTCCCTTGTAGGAACAGAGTATTTTTTATCCGCCAATTTACAAGTTGGTATGATGGTGGCAGGAGTTTGCTACACATTTTTTTCTGGATCCAGGAGCACTGCATTAATTGGTAGTACAACCTGGGTGGGTGTTGCTGACAGCAAAATGTCCAGGTGCTCATGTTGAGAGTCTTTACCCTCCTCAAGAGGTATGTGGAGGGCATTAGCCACCCTCTTCACAAGGTCCTAGAATTGACAAAAATTGTTGGCCATCAATGGTGCCTCATCTGGAGACGAAATAGGGGATTGAGGGGTAGCCTCCTTGTCCACCCTAACCTCCTATTCCTCTAAGGTCTCTTCATGGTGGTGGCTTGGTATAGGGGACTGCGTGGCCCTAATGTCCCTTTGAAATGGAGATGGAGATCTGGTAAATTTCCGCCGATACATCACCCAAGGATCCCAGTATAGCAACTGGGAAAGCCCATGCAGGAGAAGGGATATTACTCAGGGCTGATTCCACCATTCCTGATATGGATGAGGGTTTTTGTCAAAATATGGGGTCCTGGAATGATGTGGAGGTGAATTCTGCACTGAAAAGGAGGAGTCTGATTGAATGTTTCCTTCAGCATCCTCAATGTTATCCACTTGGAGGGCCCCAACAGAAAAGGGCAGAGAATTCTGCAGTATTGGGAAGCAATGGTAATCTGAAGACTGGGGTCACAGCACTGAGAGTTGTTCGGTCCCTATGAGCAGTGGGGACTCCTGCTTGTCTAACACTGACAAGTCCCTGCTGTAGCAGAATTTCTGAGGTACCAAGTGGGTCAGTACTAATACAGCACATAAAACTGTTGGTTTGGAGCTTGTAGGCACTGGTGCCAAAGGCTTCAATTTTGTTGATAATGATGGAACCGAGTGTGAAGGTACTGTTGGTAAGGCTGAGGTAGACAGTGCCATTCTGGAGGAATGCATGTCTTGTACCTCCCTGTCCTTCATGGTCAGTACTGGGGCCCTGCTGAAGCTTTGTTTCTCTGAAGTGCTCTGGGCTCTCCCTATTTCACTGGTTCTGGAGGAAGAGTTTGCCACCAAGTTGAAACCAAGTTGTACGAAGTTGAAAGGTCAAGGTTTCCAACACCATAGACCTAGTGGGAGATCAGGGCTTCTTGGGAGCTGACTCCTTGTGATGAGAGACAGAGCTCTTTTTTTTTGGAGTCTTCCCTGAGTCCTCTGAGTTCTTTCCCTTCCTAGGAGATACCTTAGCTGAAGATAAAGGAGCACTGGATCTGCTCAGACACATATGTTTGAGGGCGGTCTCCTGACCTGACTTGGAGGCGATCAATAGCTGCTTCAATTTGGTCTCCTGATTCTCCCATGTTCTAGATTTGAGAGCCAGGCAAAAATTACATCCCAAGCAATGCATGCACTTGGAGTGGCCATCACTGACCGGGACAGCCTCCCAACTAGAGAGGCAGCATTTGAAACCTGGTGAGCCAGGCATGGCAGATCAATTCCTCAGAAAAAAAGGGGGAGAGGACAAACTGATATCTTTCAAAGCTATCTAACTATTCCTATACTAATAACAACTAACACTAACTAAATAACAACAACTGTAAACACACTCAGGTACACATGACGTAGACATGCTAGAGCTCCATCTGAGTCCAAGGTAGTAGAGAAGGAACTGAAGGTGGTTCGCCCATGCAGCCCTATATACCCTCAGCCCATGCAGCGCTATATACGCCATAAGGTTGTACAGAGCACATGAGCAGGTTGCATGGATGCTACTAACGGAAAATCTCTAATCAATGGCTCAAGAGGCACATGTGCACCTGAAGCAGAGCACCCACAGGGACACTACTCAAAGAAGAATTTTAGAATGATCATGTGTAATCAAAACTTTTATTTTTGTTCTCTCTAAAAAGATGGCATCTTAGCAACTCCGTGATCTGGCACTCAATCACTGGTTTGTCATTGACTTGGAGAGAAGAATGTCACCTATTGAATCATCAGGACTGCAGCACCAAGGTTCCATTAGTCTATAATAAAGCACAGGACAAAGGGAGGTCATCCTTCTTTAAGAATCCTTCTACTGAATTAAATAGGACGCAGAGGTAATCAAAGTCTACAAATTCAACTCTAACTTCTTTGCAGATCATTTTTACTGTGTCTACTCTACCTTCCAACTTTTAGTCACTATGATGTTAGAACATCTTCACCAAATAAAAGAAAAAGGGTTTCATTGAGGTCTTTTACTCTAACTCCACATTTTATCTTGATTTTTCAATCTGCCCTGCCTTTGCTAAGCTTAGTTAGATCAAACAAACTATAACACATCATACTTAAAACACATTTCATTGACCCTCTCTCTCTTTTCAAATATCTTGTTTCTCCCTTATTTATACTACTAATTTTTTTCTCTTTTTGTTATTAAATTATGTATAAGGATTTTGAGGTATTGTTTGGATGAAAGATGCTATACAAAAAGATGTCATGTACAATAAATGCATGTTAAACCTAAGCTCATCTAAATCTTTTATCTGCAATCCAATAGGTATCCATTTTCACTAAAACTTGTTTGTGAGTTTACATTTTTTCTAATTAACCAAACACCAAAGTATTATTCCTAGTCTGCTGCCAATTCCACTAATTTCAGCAGGAAGCTGCAGCTGAAGAAAGAATGTCGGTTCTTTTCACTCACAGTAACGGTAGAGCCAAACTACTGATGTGACTTATTCAGACACCACTCATGAGACAATAACAGATGAGACCTGTTCTCAGACCCCTGAGTATCAGTAGCACTGATTTTCGAGAGTGTTTCTTGCCTGTTCTCACAGCTGAACTTGTAAACAATCTGAAGGCAAAAGCAGTAATCAGCAACAAAGAGGACAGTGAGATATTAAATTAATCTCAAACTGATATTCTAAACACCCTCACCATGCACAACGAATGCACAGTTGCTCCACAATATCATAATGCTCTGTAAAGGTACAAAAATATTCAGAATTAAAAACCTGGTAGTTGAGTTCCATTCAGCTAATACTTGGAACTTTATGTGCTGAATTGATAAGCAGCAATAATGTTTTCTTTTCTTATAATATTGTGTAACCATTTTTAGCTGGTTGCTTAGTTACATTAGGTAAAACCTTAACCAATATGCAACAAGCAATGTGAAAACTCTGAGGAACAAAACCTTACTGGTATGGGGGGAGTGATTATTACAAAGATATTAAAAATGAAAGATCTAGAACAGTGGCATTTCTGAAATAACTTGACAACCATTGAGCAATCAGCCTTTCCAGTCAGCCAAAGTGAAAAAACCCTATCTATATTTTAACTACACAGTAAAACTAGAAAAAACAGCCTGATTAAAAAGACTTTTCATTATAGATATTTATTGTATCGTATTGTTATACCAATTCAATCTTTGTAGCTGCTATTATACCAATTGTACTTAAACATAATTTGTGTTATCAACAGTACTTGCCTTATCACATCTTTTTCATGGTATATATTACATACCAGTAACTAATTTATTAAGGTGTTTTAATGTATTCATTCACTTGTATTTTTTTTAAACAAATACCATAATTCTCATTAAAATAAAGGAATACCAAGGAAAAGCTTTTAAAAATGTTGGGTTTATATCAATGAGCGATTTCCCAAAGCATAAAGTTATATATCAGTATCTGGTACAATCTATGAAAGACACAATCAAACAAGTTTTGAAAAAATTCCTACCCTCATCATAACAGAATATTATGAAATTAGGTCCTGATTCTGCAAATATGTGAGTTCTAGCAAATTCTGTGAGTCTACTCAAGTGTTTGCAGGATTGATTGTATAATAAGGAGAAAATATAGTCATAATCAAAATAAGTGTTTTTCTGAATGAATACATACAAGTTAAAAAAAATCACTATTGCTGGGGTAATAACTATAACCAGGCGTCTATGTTCCCTTCAAAAAGCTGGACCTAAATTCTTCTGGCACTCAAGTGAAGGACAAGATATTCTCTGTCAATTACAGATAAATTGAAATTTTGAGATTTTTTAAAAATTTAAATATGGACGTGAATTCCAGAAAAGGTACTATATCCATTGTGTTACTTATTTCAATATTACATTTATTTTACTCTTCCAACTTTCAATGTGCTGCAGATTTTTGTATTGACAACACAAGGGGAGGGACAGCTCAGTGGTTTGAGCATTGGCCTGCTAAACCCAAGGTTGTGAGGGGGTCATTCCAATCCTTGAGGGGGCCATTTAGGGATTTGAGCAATGGGGTTGGACTAGATGATCTCCTGAGGTCCCTTCCAACCCTGATATTCTATGATTCTATGAAGATTGCATTGTACAATTTTTCACAATGCTGGAGTTTTATAGCTGAAAAGGAAACAACTGGGGGTTGTGGCACCAGCAAGACAAAGGAAATGGTTTGGGATTGTGAAATAAGCACATTAATTGCACATTTCTGTTAAAAATGATTAGCAGCGAATTTAATGTTAACAAATTAGTGTCAAGTATCAGGGGGTAGCCATGTTAGTCTGTATCCATAAAAACAACAAGGAGTCTGGCGGCACCTTAAAGACTAACAGATTTATTTGAGCATAAGCTTTCGTTGGTAAAAACCTCACTTCTTCAGATGCATGGAGTGAAAGTTACAGATGCAGACATAAATGTACTGACACATGAAGAGAAGGGAGTTTCCTCACAAGTGGGGAACCAGTGTTGACAGAGCCAATTCGATCAGAGTGGATATAGTCCACTCCCAATAATAGCTGAGGAGGTGTCAATTCCAGGAGAGGCAAAGCTGCTTCTGTAATGAGCCAGCCACTCCCAGTCCCTATTCAAGCCCAAATTAATGGTGTTAAATTTGCAAATGAATTTTAGTTCTGCTGTTTCTCTTTGAAGTCTGTTTCTGAAGTTTTTTTGTTCAAGTATAGCTACTTTCAGACCAGTCCTTCCTTACAGACAGCCCCCCAACCTGAAGCAAATACTCACCAGCAACTATACACCACACCACAGAAACATTAACCCAGGAACCAATCCCTGTAGCAAACCTTGTTGCCTACTCTGTTCCCCTATCTACTCTAGTGACACCATCAGAGGACCCAACCACATCAGCCACACCATCAGAGACTCATTCACCTGCATGTCTACTTATGTTATATATGTCATCCTGTGCCAGCAATGCCCCTCTGCCATGTACATTGGCCAAACCGGACAGTCCCTATTTAAAAGAATAAATGGACACAAATCAGACATCAGGAATGGTAACACACAGAAGCCAGTGGGAGAGCACTTCAATCTTCCTGAACGTTCTATAACAGATTTGAAAGTAGCTATACTTGAACAAAAAAACTTCAGAAACAGACTTCAAAGAGAAACAGCAGAACTAAAATTCATTTGCAAATTTAACACCATTAATTTGGGCTTGAATAGGGACTGGGAGTGGCTGGCTCATTACAGAAGCAGCTTTGCCTCTTCTGGAATTGACACCTCCTCATCTATTGTTGGGAGTGGACTACATCCACCCTGATCGAATTGGCCCTGTCAACACTGGTTCTCCACTTGTGAGGTAACTCCCTTCTCTTCATGTGTCAGTACATTTATGCCTGCATCTGTAACTTTCACTCCATGCATCTGAAGTGAGGTTTTTACCCACGAAAGCTTATGCTCAAATAAATCTGTTAGTCTTTAAGGTGCCACTGGACTCCTTGTTGTTTTTATATTAACAAATTGTCATCTTTAGCTTCCAGAGTTAACACTGCACTGATTTGAATGAATAATTTTACCTTTTTCAGAGCTCTTTCAGATTTAACAGCACTGCATCAGTTTATACTCAGTTTACATTTGAAAGCTTTTATTTACAATTATAAGGGTGAGAGGGAGGGCCACAGGGAGCTGGCTGCAGCTTCTTGTTTCAGGACCCGTCGCCCTGGTTTAAGCTAGGGGACTGCACAGAGAAATCCTGAATTGACCTACGCCAGTGGAGCAGAGGGCACAGCTCTGATCTGCTTCATAAAACACCTCCCATCTAGGCTTTACCCACATGTTGTCCCTGACACACCCACTCCCAACTCTACACTGGGATAATCCTCCACTAGCCTTTTCTGACTACTTTCAGGCTACTTTGCTCTGTTTGTATTGTGCAAAATAACCTGAGCAGACTGGAGAATCCTGTCCAAAATATCTAATTTAAGATCAAATACGTAATTTACAGATTCGTTATTGCCTTGCCTTTTGCAGATCAATGATTTGAGGTACTTGTCTACTCAAGAACAGCTACGAAATTTAATGTTAGATTTTTTTAATACACCTAGTACAGAACTCACACTATAGCCAGCATGGATGCAGATACCATCATTTTAAAGTAATATAGGACCCAATCCTGCAAGGTATAGCCCACTTTCTCCTTCAGAATATCTACATTATTCTTCTTCAAGTACCTCTTTAAAACCCATCAAGTACCTCTTTAAAACCCATGTAGTCATGATGTCTACAAAATCTGCCATCTGACAATGGATAGGCAGGTGGCAAGCTGTGATTACATGCTACTGACTGGCTCTGCAATTTGTGCATATAGCAAGTCTACACTAAACCTTCTGATTATTACTATTACTTTGTCCTCCGTTCTCCATCCCTCAGCCCACTTGTTTGTCTCACAGACCTGTTAGGTCTTGTCTTTTAGAATGTAAGCTCTTCAGAGCATTGGACTGTTTAACATATGCTTGTACAGTGCCTACCACAATTTAGACTCAACATAGTCAAGGTTTGAAGGCACTATGGTAATACAGATATCTAATGATTGCAGCATATTGAACATTTCTCAGAGTAATTTAATAATTTAACTAAATAACAAGGCATTTTATTCTCTTACCATTTTTGATGTTGGGTATAACAAGTTGTGTAGGTGAGCTGCTGCTTCCAGCTGCTTCTTTCTTTTGGTTGATAGTGGAAATAAAATTGCTAAAAGTAGAAAATTGGCTTTTGGCTCCTCTTTCCAATCCCTGTAATTAGGAAGGCAGTAATAATAGTAAAGCACTAATATCTATTATTGCAAAAGTAACTTTACTCATGAATTATTCTATGGAACACTTAAACAACATGCCTCTTGAATGAGGAACAGATCCATGAGTAATACTTAAATATTTTTGAACAAATTTGTTTCAAATTGAGTAACAAAAGCCACTGTAAGATTCCTTCCCATTTTCCTCATGTTTTAAAACCCATATGTACTTAAGAGTTCTGCAGATAAATTGGGAGTAGCAGATATGACTAAAATGATTTAAATATACTGTATTATCCTAACTCACTGTATCCTAATTAATAATTACCTTCATATTTCTCTTTTGCATGTAACTGAGTTCATATCCAACAGTGTGTCTCACATTCCTATATCAAAATACCTTTATGTATTCTGACTGTTTTTAGAGCAGAAACCTAAAAAAAATCTGATATTTAAAAATGTTCCCAATTTCAGTGTTCCCTCTAATTTTCCCCATCCATGTGCGGAATGAATTTTGTTATGTGCCCATCAATATGGAGGTGATGTGTGACACCTTTATACTGGTGCACGTAAGAAAATTCATGTGGGAGGGGTGGAGCTGAGGGGTTTAGAGTGTGGGAGGGGGCTCAGGGCTGGGGTGGAGTGTTGAGGTGAAGGGGTGTGAGGGCTCCAGCAGGGGGTGCTGGCTCTGGGGTGGGGTCAGGGATTAGGGGTTTGGGGTGCAGGAGGGTGCTCCGGGGCTATGGCGTGGAGAGAGGACTCCCCCCAGCTCGCTTTTCCCACAGCAACACCTGGGTGGGGGGTGGGAAGGTACTTCTCCCCACCGTGGCAGCTCAGGGCTGGGGCCACAGGTCAGGCGCCCCTCCCTCAACAGGTCCGGACCGGGGCTGGGTTCAGGCAGAGGGAGGGGCGCCCCTACTCCAGCAGGTCCCTGGGCAGGTTCCCTGAGCACCTGAACTTAGGCATGTGGCCATGAACTGTGGGCTGCCTGCTGGTAATGTTAATCTACAGGCCAATCAGAAGGCCAATAACTTGAGTTTTCAATGTTGGCTACCACTCAGCTTACAAATAAAAGGTTAGCTATTGTAGTTAGACAACAAGAGAAGCTGCTTGAACATCTGATGCCAGTGAGGAACCTGCATAAACCATTGCCATCAATGTTGTATGCAAATAAACTTTAAAAATTAGCAGAGAGCCTATGTGAATCAGTATGATGGAACATGCAAAGGACTATTTATGTCAACTTGTTTGAAGGGGGAGATTATTATTTTTGTTCCCTTGAGAAACAACACTTTGTAAAATTCCATAGAAGTGTAAAGGTGATATTATTCCTATTTTACAAACAAATAAAGTGAGGCTCAGAGAAGCTATGTGATTTGCACAAGATCACACAGGAAGTCAGCAGCAGAGTGAAGATTATTAGAACTCTCAAGGCTCTATCCACATTTGGCATAGGCAGATTCAAGGTCTTCTCACTTCAAGAATTTACTCTTTTGTTAGTGATAAATTTGGTCCTCACACTAATCCAATGACGAATTTTGCCCACAAACCTTGCCAACGCTCTGACCACTACAAATATAGAATTGTTTTGCGTTTCTACATTAAATTATAACCTTTTATATAAATCTGCAGAACTCCAAAACTGTAATTCTAAAAATAATAATAAATAATAATAATTAATATTGAAAATGCATTATTCCACCCATTTTTTAAAACCCAAGTTTTCTCATTCCTTACCAAAAAAAGGTATAAAAAAATTATATAGCTAGAGTTCTGGGAAAAGCTATACATACACACAGTCATTCTGAAATACTACAGTGGGCTCAGAAAGGCCCAGAAAATCGCACACTGAAGCATGGCAGGAGTTGGAAAATTTTAAATGGTTTTGAAATTTCTACTGCACTTGCACAAGTGGCCATTTTCCATGGCTCAGCCAAATTTGAACAAATTTAGAACAGCACAAGACATCTCTAGGACCTCTAGACTGACGAATTTCAATTTCCTATTGTAAACCCCTGACATGCCAGAAGTGTTAAAAATAGGTTACAGAAAAGTTGACATGCAACATGCTAGGCTATCATTCAAACTTTCATTCTATCTTAAAGGTTAAAAACAAAAAACTAAGATACCTCTCAAAACTTATCATGTATAACATACAAGATTGTAGAATAAATCTACAACCTGATGGAAAAAACATGTAAGAATTGGTCAGCTGAAAATAAGGAACACGTTGAAATGAAAAACTCTTTTGGGGTGGCCACCTTGCAATCAAGTCCTGCGGCATGCAGAATACAAAGCCAGACAACTTGAGTTCAATTATGAACAACAGAGAACCATGAATCTACTTTGTAGACAAATGCAATGGAAACATCTCTGAAACAGGATGTGGTAGCAGCCTTATCTCTGACTGTATAACACTTTTCAGGGCCTTCTCAATTTCAAGCTAGCCAGGGAACAGCAATGTGAACCTCAAGAAACATCCCTTTGAACCTCAAGAAAGTGTCCTCTGGAAAACAGCATTGCCCAGAATGCTAGTATCAAATGAAACAAAAAGTTAAGTGAACAGTCTAATGACATTAATCTGCTCCAAGCAGAGCATCAAGGACTTTTCAACATCAAACACAGAAAAGGAGCTAATGAGGAACTGACACTTCCTTGGAGAGTGTCTTGGATAAGTCTAAATCTCATTCTTATAAAAACTTGTAAGGTGGTCAGTCAGTCACGAGGGTCTAAAGCTCACTTACTGCCATCAGAAAAAAATGGACTTCCATGTTCAAAATTTAAGCTCACTGGAACTAAGTGATTCAAAAGGGTTATCATCATCTTTGTTAGGATCACATTTAACCCACTATAGCACTGGCTTAGTAATGAAGAGTTTCAAAAGAGTTAAACCAGTGGTTCTCAAATTTTTGTACTGGTGACCCCTTTCACATAGCAAGCCTCTGAATGAGACCCCCCCCTTATAAATTAAGAACATATTTTTATATATTTAACACCATTATAAATGCTGGAGGCAAAGCAGGGCTTGGGGTGGAGGCTGACAGCTTGCGACCACCCGTGTAATAGCCTCGTGATCCCCTGAGGGGTCCCGACTCCCAGTTTGAGAACCCCTGAGTTAAACCCCTGCATGAATCTGACAAGAGGACAGACAGACAGACAGCCTACCTTCAAGGAATTCATGATAGACCGAAGCAGTTACCAATGTGCATATAAGTGTGCATAAATTAGACTTAAGACAGGTGAAGAAGATAGCCCAGCTCCTGTGAGCAGCAAATAAAGGCATCCTTTTGAGTCTAACTGTACCGCACTACAGGGAAGGAGAGGCAGATCTTGACAACTTTCTGTGGTGTGGGGAGCCCAGCCGCCCTGCTCCTGCTGGGCATCACTCGCCCTTCCTGATTCTGCAGATCCAAACAATGCTCACGACTCACATATCTGAGGTGAACAGGCGCCACTGAAGATAAAATGCTTCCTATCCTCCTCCACTCAGGAGGTCCTGGCAGACTATTGGTAAAGGCAGGTGGACTCAACACACTTGAACCTTTGTCAAGGTTTTTTTGAACTGTGGTACTATAAATAACAACATTTGCTGAAAGAGGGCTTAGGACACTTCAGTTTCTGGCATCAAGGCTGAACTCCCTGCAAGAGTAAGGCACTCAATGGAATACCTGCTTATGAAGCAGAGCCCTTCCTTTTCCTCCCTTGAAGAAAGAAAGTGAAGGTGAAACAGGCCCCAGAGACTGCAGAGTGCCCTTTGTTTCCTTTGCAGAGGCCATCACCTGCTCCTCAAACAAATTCTCTTTAGTGAAAGGCAAGTTCTTAAACTTTCTCTTGCTGAAATCTGGACACCTACAGCCAGACAGAACTATTGATATCCATGCCTAAGGCAGAAGCCCTGATGCATGGCAAAGGTCTGAACTGACTGCATGTCAGATCAATGAACTCATGTACTAGTTTCTCAAGCGCCCAACATTTTTCTTAGGGAAGAGAATAAGTCATGATGGAATCCTCTTTCTGTAGTTCCACTTCACCTATGGCCATGAAGGGTCACAATACAAAGGGCTACAGCCATGTATACGTAAGCCTTTCATCCAAATGATTCTAAGTGCCACAGCTCAGGATTACGAAATATACTACCTACGTGCTGACAGCCTTCCCTTGAGCCCTGACACCTCTGACAACAAGCTTTCATGAGAAAAATGGTAATGTAGCAGACAGCAAGGTATACTTTTTCTCATCAACCTTTGAGACCAGGAAGTTGGATCTGCTGCACTTTCATAACTAGTACAGTAACTGGTTGATGTACATCCAAGGAGTTGTTTGGTTCATCAAAGAATAATTATACGACAGTATAGCCAGGTTAGTTGTACAAATACATAGAGGTTGTCTAGCACACTGACACAATATACCAAGTACAAGAAAAATCTAGTGGAGTATTGCAGAAGGAGTATGATTTCATTGCGGAAGATGTCAGGTGTGCTATTGTAAGACTGTCATATAAATTTGGACAGATCATATATACAGGGATACAGCAGCAAAGTTAATGTTGTTTGGAATAAGTTAACTGCATTTTCACATTTACAGTGTTTGGGTTTTTTTTGTTGTTGTTGTTTTAAAGCAAGGAAACTTCAACTTAAAAATTCCTTGCATGTTAAGGTCAGTGGTGGGGTTTTTTTTAAGTAAAACTACAAGTTCTAATAAGGATTTTTTTTCTTAAGTTGTTATACAAACTTGCAACCTTCACTGTAATTTAGAATCATAGAATCATAGAATATCAGGGTTGGAAGGGACCCCAGAAGGTCATCTAGTCCAACCCCCTGCTCAAAGCAGGACCAATTCCCAGTTAAATCATCCCAGCCAGGGCTTTGTCAAGCCTGACCTTAAAAACCTCTAAGGAAGGAGATTCTACCACCTCCCTAGGTAACGCATTCCAGTGTTTCACCACCCTCTTAGTGAAAAAAGTTTTTCCTAATATCCAATCTAAACCTCCCCCACTGCAAC